ATACCTGGCATTTTGTGTGTGCAGACTGTTGATTCCTTACCTCTCTGGCATATGAACTCTTTGAAAGAAACACCCCTAATTAGTTTAATTTTTACGACATGCTCTTTTTTAAGGAGAGCAGTGGGTTTGTTCAATTTCCACCACAATGGAAACCTGGAATCCACACAAGGAAGTTAAGAGAATGAACCACTGAACACATTTAATTAACTTAATTTAAAAACTAGAAAAGGGAAAGCAGAGAAGCTTTTCATGATACTGAGGCTTGGGTACCAGTTGACACTAAATGAATTATGTGGTCAACATCATGCAGACCGCCTTCGTTCCCTTCGAGCTGTAAGGACCCTTTTTCATTCCACTAGGGCATATGGTGCTTGAGCTGTATTTTATAGAACATTCGGCCTTGGGGGTGATGTGGTCACCATCACGTCAGCTGCCTTTACCTTCTTTGACTTTACCTGGTACCTATTTTAGAATGAGTTGAGCTGGGAGACACAGTCATTTAAAAAAGAAATTCGACTTGGTATGGGTTTGAACCTGCAACAATCAGGCGAGCAGCTAGCTGGCTGCTACACCACAGTGGCTTCTGGAACCGTATGTCTATTATAAAAATATATCCTAATGTTGATTAAACCCCAATGCCTCTCGGTCAGCTGGCAAGCATCTAGCCACCACCTGCTTTGGATTCCCGAAAACTATAAGGGTATGGCTATTTTGAACACACAAAAAGGCTTTCCAGAATAGGATAATAATGTTTCTCATATCAAACTATTTATGAAAAACAACATTACGGTCAAACTGAGTATTACCCCTTTTACTTTAATGTTGTGCTTTTCGTTTTAATTTGGGCATGACAGTTTATGCAGTTACCTCCGGTCAAAATGGATGCTAGGCACGGCTGCTGTTTTGAGCCGTGACAAATTTTTTACTGCTGCCTAACGGTGGCCGTTGCATTTTTGCTCCATTTGTAGACTGAAAGGATATAGTTACGTCACCCAGCTTCTGAGTTGAGTGCATGGCGTGACACTGTGAGCTGCAGATTTCATTTGGAATGTTTTTCGACTGTGACCAAGTTATGGTGTGAATTGTAGATTCAGAAAATAGCGCGATGCCTGTAGTTGCAATATTAGTGGTGCCATTAAGTGATGAAAATTGATCGCATGTGCAACTGCTGATCTTTTGGTGACTTCTGCTCCCATCCATGATGAACTGCATTTCTAATGTCAGTTTGTGTTAGCACTTCGGAGGGCTACCGTATGCTTTTAATGCATGTGTATGCTGAGACAGCAGTCTGTCAATCTTTCCACAAGGAACTGTAATAAACACTTTGTGTGTTTTTTATTGGCACAGGAGCGGAGCAACTATGGGTGACCTGTTTGCTATAAAGCTGAAACTAAGATGACTAGATTACCAGATGCAGTTAGTAACTGGTAAAATTAAACAAAAATTAAACTGAGTTATCAAGATAGAAATTTTTTTTGCTACCTATATTATGAGAATCAGAGAAGAACACTGGTAAATATGACAACTGGAGTGATTTATAAAAAAAAAGCACAAGAAAAAAATCATCATAGTCTCCTGCTGTTGAATGAAAAGGTGTCGGTATACAAATGGATACAAGCTGCTAGAGATTTCGAGATGTGAAAAAAACATGGTAAAAAGAAGCATGTTTGACCATGTTAGCCGCCAAATCATTTTCTGGGTTATGGTATAGAAAGAAATTAACACATAATCTGAAACAGAGCTTTTGAGATAAGAGAGTTGTAGAGAGATATTATCACCCACACAAGTAAACTAGGCACTTAATGAAGAGTTCTTGAAACACTCATAGATCAGACAATTGGTAACACCAGTAGATTTCATTGTAGATGATTAGTCACCATTTTATCAACAAGTTGTGTCTTTTATGCCATTTTAAGAGTACTAGATGTATTTCAGTGCTATTTCTGAGTGTTGAACTAAAAATACAACACAAACTGTGATTAGAAAGCTAAGTGAAGGGAATTGAAAAGCCTTACACTAATACAGCTGAATATTTTGGCCAAAAAATTTCATCAGTGGAGTAGTACTACATAACAATACAAACTGCAACTGGAAAACTCAATGGTCAAGATAAGATTATAAACAGACAGAATCTACATGAAGTCAAGGTCATGTTGTGTTTAATACTCCATTGACAAAAAGTTTCTTCTTCTTCTTTCTTTCGCCTGAAATAAGTTGTCTATATCAGCAGTTTTGTCTCTTGTATAAATTTCACTGTCGTTTCATTCAGTGGTCCATAGAGTTTACGTTCCTCTGTTGTTCTTTCTGGCCAAAAGGTTTGCCTTAATGTGTCAAATTCGGTGCAGTCCTGGAGTACATGCTCTGCTGTCTTTGGCACCTTTCCACACGTGCACATAGCTGTTAAACCTATCTTGAATTTTGTGTACATGTGGTTATGTAATTGGTTGTGCCCTGTTCTGAGGCGGAGGATAATGACTTGTTCTGGTCTGTCCATAACAAAAAGTTTGAAACGTTAGGTTGTTTTTTTGTTTGTTTTCTTGATTCCCCCCATTAAGCCTTCTCATCACATTTTGCGTTTTATTTATTACTTCTTGATATCAACTTTACTGCAGTGATTTCCATTTATATCATCTCTTCTGAGTGTATTGATTAACAAGGACAGCTGGAATAATACTGTTCCTAGGTTCTATCTGGACACACAGCCACCCTGATCTAACCTCTGTTCAGTTATGTTAGTCTGAACACAAGAGTGGATGCCACACCAGTTGGTACATATCAGTTTGTTTATTGCTGATCTGACAGTTGTTACTCATGTTGCACTAGTTGCACTGAGGTTTTCTGACAAATACTTTTGCAGAAAACATCACACGTCAACAACAGGTGTATTTACCTTTCGTTCTAATCATCACACTCATACCGATATTTTGAATTATCACACCAGTGACACAGGCTTTGTAGCCACTTGTCCTTCTCTTCAGGGTCAGTCCATAGCAGTCATATCAACTTGCGTTCAGGATTTTTGGAACGATTGTTAACATTCACTCTTCATAGCAGTTCTTAACAGTTCATAACTGTTCTTCCTCTCAGCTCATTCGAGCCTCTCACACTGCTGTCCAAACACCAACTGCCTCTAGCTCATTCATCCTTCAAAACCCTTGTTCCCTTCCCACAGAATTTGGTTTTGTAACTGTTCAGTCCCACACGTAAGTATAACTTCTCTTGCTTTACTTGTTTCTCACTGGCCTGTAACACAACTACGTCATCTCAGGAAACCCTTTGGAAATCTCTGGGAATTCTCTTAATCACAACAGTTCAGTGAGACTTTTACAGTTGTTTTATCTCAGATAATTAAAAGTGTGAGGCATGTTTTTTAAATAAGTCCCATATAATATTTAAAAAAAAAAAAAAAAAAAAAAAAAAAAAAAACACCATATAAAAAAAAAGATTTATTGCAGCCAAAAATGAACCACACATTTACATTATTTCTTAATAGTCACCATTGACTTCAACACATTTTGATGTCGTGGCACAAGGTTCTTCATTCCAATGTCATAAAAGTCTGCTGCCAGTGTCATGAACCATTCATTAATGCCTGTCTGCAGTTTATCATCAGTTTCAAACCAATGGTATGCCAGACACTTCTTTAGGTGCATGAAAAGGTAGTAATCAATTGGAGCCAGATCGCGGCTGTAGGGTAGGTGGTCGATAGTTTTCTTCACCTCCTTCATTTTGAAAGCGCTGCAAAAATGTTTAAGCCGAAGCCAATTGTTTATGCTTGTATTCATTGGTTAACATTTTCGGTACCCATCTGGCACACAGTTTTTAAAAAAAATCTAAGGTTTCATGTCACAGTGTTGTAAATCAGTGAATGTGAAACTTCCTGAAAATTCGTCAGCAATACAGAAATTGTGAAACAACGATTTTGTGAATTTCTTTTCACTTCTTCGACCAAATCGTCTGTCACTACACTTGGCCGACTGCTAAAATCTTCATCATTTATATTTATTGAACCTTTTTAAACATTCAACACCATTTCCTAACCATACTATCAATCATAATGTTTGGCGCATAAACCTCAATCAGTTGCCTGTGAATTTCTGCAGCACTGTTGCTTTTTGCTAGCAAAAAAAACCGGACACAGCACAAACCTAGCAGCTGGCAGGAGTGTTTATCTTTGCACGCATTATAAATCACTTACATGCAGCATCAAACATGATTTCAACAGTGAAAAAAAATAAAAGCACACAGTTACCTAATGAACCATATAAATATACTGCATATGCATAGGGTTTATCTCCCATGGTGGGCCATTAAGAAAACGGCTGTTCTCATGGCTTTCTCTTCAGTGGTACAGGAGCTACTATGTAAGATTCTCATAGTAAGCAGTAAATACATTACAGGCAACCTGCATTGTGAAGATCTCATAATAAAAAAAAAATTTATCTGTAACTATCATTTATTTGCTGTGTGGTCAGGGTTCACACAGTCACTGGAGTCAAGGATCTGGTCTGTATAGTTGTGCTGCCCCTTCCAGTTGGTGCTTTGCTGGGGAAAAAAATCGTCACATTCAGCCATCATCCCCATAGGTGGAGCTTTAGGTTATAATTGGTGACTAGGTTATGTGCGCCATATAAAATGGCTTACCTTTGCATGCCACCAAGAGTCCTGAAAAGGACTCCTGCAGTGTTTTGATGTGATCAAAGGAGACAGACCCAAATTACTATCTTGACTGGTGATAAAGTCAACTACCGGTGAGCCAGTGGGTGACTCGGTCGCTGATACTTCCTGTTGATCAGGATGTCCAGGTTTTTGTGTGTGTGTCTTTCCTTGGCTTTTTTCCACATCAAGTGTTGATGATGGTAGTTATTGTAATGTTTTTAGTCAAGGTCATAATTTTATTTTACTTTGATCAAATAGTCAGCTTGCAAAGAGAGTTTGTTTACTTCCCTTTTAGATACTATTGCTGAAACACATTTTGTTTAACATTGTTTTATTCTTAGGACAAACTCTTAGGGGATCATCAACATTATGGAACTTCGACTGACCAGAACTTTCACCAACAAGAAGAGAGGCCTAGGCAGGGATCTTTACTTTCAGAAACGGCACAGAGTCGGGCTGAGAGGCTGACCAGTATCGCAAGTGATGGTTCAACTGTGCTAAGTTTTCACAACATCAACTATGAAGTGAATGTAAGCAATTCTCCTTTCTGTGGGAGAACGACCAAGAAGCATATTTTGAAGAATGTCAGGTAAAATTCAACACTTTTGTTTTTCTTTGCATTTGTTTAGACTGTTTGTGTTAAACAGTTTCAAGATGTGGATACCAAAAGTGTGTCGTGGTCACTGAAGACAGCATCATAATACTAAATTTGTGTGCCTTAGCTTGTTGAAAATAAAAGCCTAAACTCTCCTGTGTGGGTTCTGGGCTCCCATTTTAGGGAGTAAAAAAAAGTATAGACCCACTGGTCCTCAGTAAGCCTGCCATAAAAGATATGAAATGTTAGGCCGATAGTTACATATATTGTAGCCTAGCTGTAAACTTCAACACGACATATCAACTGCCCTTCTCCCAGTGTGGGTTCCGGGGACCTATTATAGGGAAAACAAGAATAGACCCACTGCCTACCCAAAAGCATGTCGTAAGAGTCGACTAATTGGGAGCTTCCTTCAAAGTCAGAGTGCATCTGCCTGAGAGACAAGAAACCAGCAGTCTGTATAGGCAGGTTACACATGCAGGTACACAGGTTACACTGTTGTTACTACAGTAGTAGAAATTTAAACAACTGTACCCTGTTCAACTCATGTGGATTATAATTGGGATGTATATTTTTTCCTGTTTCAGTATTGGATATTTATCTTGTAAATTATTTTTGATTACTTAATATTGCATATGCAACAAATTAATCGTAACATATTTTGTCGTGCATGTTATACTTCACAACAGGGATTGTTTGTAATATATGATTAAATTAACTTGAAGCACTTTATTATATAATTGCAAATCCCATACTTTTGATGTGCTTTTACTGCAAATAAAGGAAGCAGAGAGTAGGAACACTAGTTTTACAAGCATGTCATAGGAGAGGGCTAGAGAGGTTTGGTGTTAGAATGGTTACCTCATCCTATATATAACTACAGTTACAAATTGTAGCCAATCATGAACAAGTCTATGAAGGTCTAGATGTGAGTAGGTTGAGGGTTAACGCTTTACTGGGAGTAGAACAACGTGGGAGCAGTGGGAAGCAGGGTTGAGGAAGAGGGGTAGGAGCAGAACCTGAAGAATTGGGGAGGAGATAGAGAAGGGCAAGAAAAGATTTTCCCAATATTAATTATATTGAAGTACTGTCAGAGGATTGGTTGGCCCTGCCAGTAAGAACAATGAGCTCTGATTCAGGAGACCCAAATTTAAATCCTTGAAAACATTAGAGATTTTTCTGTGGTGGGCACACACAAAAAGTACTGACCTGAACAGTCCACTACAGTACACTATCCATGCTACAATAGATTTGGAACATTCACTTTCTTTTTCTTAAAGTTGGTGCCATGTGGCATTGGTAGTCATGTCTGTCCATAGGCTTCTGTCTCGTATACTTTCAGTCAGCTGTGATACAGATGCCATAATGTCAGTGTCCAGCATCTTTTCTTTCTGTCTCCCCTGCCTCTTCCTCTCCAACTTTCCTACTATCACACTGTACCTGTTTTCTATTTCTAGTCATGTGACCAAAGAATCTGGATTGTCTGTTTTTGATGTGAGCAATCAGTTAGTTAGTTGCATATCCTTTGCAGGACGTTGCAAAACCAACCCCAGTATTTTTTAGCTGTTGTGGTTTTTCTGGGCACATTTTTATGTTCACTAGTTTGCCATTGCTTTCTGAACGGAGCAGTCAGTTACATTCACTGTGTATATCATACTATATTTACTTTGCTGAAATGTATGCATATCTGAACAGTGGAATTTGAAAGTGGCATATACATGTTTTAACTTTTTTTCAGTGGTATTTTCAAGCCTGGAATGAATGCCATTCTGGGTCCCACTGGCAGTGGCAAGTCCTCGTAAGTATGCAGAACTTGATTAACTCTTTCAATCTCGGGGTTTCTTATAGCAAATGTCCAAGGGAATCAGTGGCCACCTTGAAAAATCACGCATGTATAACTTTCAAATTGGCAGATTACACAATAAAAGTAGCCAGTAGGGAAACCAGATTTCATTGGTGAACTCTGACCAGTAGTAAAATGGGAGGTGAACACATTAGATGATGGCTGTGATTAATGTGGAAAAGTATTGCACATCACACGCTGAGTGGGACTGAAAGAGTTAAAAGACTAATTCACTGTTGCAGCAGTGTGTATAAATGTGTCTTTCTTTTACCACTACATCAATATCTTCTCTGTCATTTGGCTAAGATGAAACGACTACATCAATTTCATCATCTGGTTGTGCCATTGTATATAGTACTACTGTGCCCGGCCACGCGTTGCTGTGGCCCAGAATGGTGAAATGGAAAAGAAAGAAAATAGTTCTCAGCTAACAGTGTCTGTCATATCCCTCCCCCCACCCCCCTCCCATCGACCCAGTCATATCTCACTCCCTGAAGGATTGAAAAATCCTCCTTTGCGAAATTATTTAAAAAAAAATAGTTAAGAAATGATAACTTTAAAACAATGTTTTAAGCTCTCTCGGTTAATAGTGTCTGGCATAAACCCCCCTTACCCTCCCCCTTTCCCCCACTAATCATATGATCCTCTCCGAAGGATAGGAAAGTCATCATCTGATGAAATATTGTAACTAAATTGAGCTTGATATCCCTGTCCACCCAGAATAAAATGGGTAGCATTAATTTGTACTGAGAAGTACATGTGGCCAGTGTAACAGCTACCACATCACCCATGCTGTACCAGACTACTACTACCACTACCACCACAACAATAACAACAACAAAAACTGTCACTACAGTATGTGTAGGTGGGTGTAGCCAGAGGAGTTAGCACCGTATGCTGTCGCCATGGACTGTTTAGTTTAATTTTGCCTCTGACATAGAAAAAAATGTCATCACTTAACCAGTGATGGAACCCACAATAAAAAGTACACTATACTAACAAATAGTGGAGAAAAATACCCCGCACACGTCATCTCTCCCTTTCCGAAGGGAGATTGTTAACTGACCTTGGCATCCGTGTCCACCCAAACTAAACTGGACTGTAAGTCGTCTTAGTTAACAGTTTCTGTCATCGTCGAATAGTTTTTGACCGAAAAGCACTGCAGGAAGGCTAACTGGGACTTTACTGAAATCGGATGTCTTTGGGCGAAAGGCGCAGATATCGCAGTCTAGCTGTAAACCACAACACAACGTGGCAACCACCCTTTTAAGGGAAAAAGAACAATTATCACCCAGCGGGGAATCGAACACCAGTCTCTGCGTGAAGGGTGGAATACTTGCAACTATACTACAGAACACTGAAGAGTTTAGGTCAGATATCGCAGCCTAGCTGTAAACCACAACACAACGTGCCAACGGCCTTCTCGAGGGCGAATGAAGATTACCAATGACATGACCATTGAGCATCATGTTGCCGCTATCGCAGGCTAGCTGTAAACCCCAAAACCGAAAAAAGGTGTAGATATCACAGCCTAGCCATACACCACAACACAACGTGTCAGCCGCCCAGTTAAGGGCCAACAAAAAATTATATCACCTAGTGGGAAATCAAACGCCAGTCACCCGCATGATAGGCAGATGTCGCAGCCTAGCTGTAAACCACAACACAACGGGGCAACCACTCGTTTAAGGGGAAAAGAACAATTATAACCCAGCGGGGAATCGAACACCGGTCACCCGCGTGAAGGGTAGAATACTTACAACTATACTACCGAACACTGAAGAGTGTAGGTAAGATATCGCAGCCTAGCTGTAAACCACAACACAATGTGTCAACGGCCGTCCCGAGGGCGAACGAAGAGTACCTGTGACATGACCATTGAGCATCACGTCGCCGCTATCGCAGGCTAGCTGTAAACTCCACACAAAAAAGGCGTAGATATCGCAGCCTAACCGTAAACCACAACACAAAGTGCCAGCCCCCCAGTTAAGTGCTTAAAAAAAATTACATTACCTAGCGGGGAATCAAATGCGGGTCAACCGAATAATAGGCAGAATATTTACAACTACGCTACCAAACACTCAAGCAAATTGTGGAAATGAAATTATATAATAATGCAAAGTTTAATAACAGCCCAGCAGTCAAAAATGGCTAATGAACTAAAACAAATCTGGGCCTGCAATGAAACAAATGATGATTTGACCGTTGCTGGAGCTACGTCCTTCATGGTTTGTGCGATTTTCTGACAAAAAAATCACGCTTTGAGTCAAAGGCAACATTGTGTGAAAAATTGAAAGCAAGCAGTTCAGTAGTGTCTGAGTCTATAGTTAACAAACTCGGAAAATTAACATTTTTATTAATATAGATAGGGCTCACAGTCTAGTTAGTATTCCATTATGTTCTAACCTATAAAATTCTTTCAAGCAGCTTTGGCCTGTCTCATAATTTTCATTTTAGGATTTCTCTTGGACAGCCTCCTTTGCTTTGTCCAGTTGTTTCCCATTTCAGTTCCTGTTTGTGGTTCTCTGTCTGTTTCTCCTCATGATCTGCCTAAAACAGCATGTATTTTGTCTTCTTCTGTGTCCAAACATTTCTCTGTCAATGTGTATAGATGTATGTTGCTTTTACTGTTTCAGAAGTGTGTGTGATCATGAAGCAGGTCCTTTGCAGAACACTGCTGTCATCACAGCTCAACCTCTTGCCAGCTCTCCTGCTTCATGCACTTTCCTACCCAAGATGTCTCTTATATTCTGTGCCTATCTTCATGCTGGTTGGCTCTTGTCACTTTTCCCCTTTATCATGCCGTCTGCTCTTTTTGATTTTCAATCCATTGTGGCACTTGATATGGCTAAGCTATTCCGATTTCTCTGACAAGATGTTGTTTATGAGACAGTCTTCCATGATATTCAGATCTTTGAGGATGTCTATATTTCTTTTCTTTATGGTCCTTGGTATTCTGAGAATCTTTCTTTAGCATTTTACTTCAGAAGCCTAGAAGCATATATAAATATGCAAAACTGATGGATTTCGTTATGTTAATGAATGGTGCTTGTACTGTAGTTAAATTTGTTCTCTGTAATTTTCTTCAGGTCTTTGATATAAAATAATGACATGGAAAACAATTCTTGAAATTACCTTGTGTTTAAAGTGCTGTCATTAAGTGCAAGTGAAATCACGACCTGTAATTTAATACATAACGTTGTGTTGAAAATAGGTTCTCTTGCTGTGTTGGCCGAAAATAGATATACATTTTTGCAACTGTGGCTAAATACTGCTGCATACATTTTAGCATCTGTGTGGCTAAATACTGCTGCATATATACTTTTAGCCTTGTATAGATTGCTCACATCAAATGAAAAGCAAGTATCACAAGTAAATGTGGTTTTCTTTTATGTGAGTGCAAATGGTGGAGCAATGAAATAGTGAAGGAACTTTAAGTAGTGGAGATGTTCTTTTGAGAAAAATGGTCAGGGAAGAAAACAAATGTATAAGGTTTGAAAGAGCAGACATAATAACCAAAAGGTAAAGACAGATGAAAGTATAGGGCATATTAACACAAGAGCTGAAATAATTAACTTACCCTAATGTGGGATATAGTAGGCAAGAGGAAGACAGAGAAAAATAAATGCGAAAAGTTTCAACAGCTAGGTAGTAATTAGTGAGATAAGCAACACTAACTGCATCTACATATGAGATATATAGCATTTGAAAGCCAGAGGCCAACCTCTGCGAATTTGGATACAGGACATTGAGAAAGCATTGGCTATGAAGGCACACAGGGCTGGACAGTTGGCTGGAGAAAGAGGGACTTTCAGGTGTGCCATAAGGAGAGCAACATTCTGTAATGGACAAGCTGATTGATTGAGAATTTGGAAGTCAGTATAACGGTCGGGGGCCAGATTAGACTTGATGGGACCCTAAGCTGTATAAATTACTGAGGCTCTACTGTTTTAAAATACAGCCCCAATGTCAGAAAACATTTTTTAAACATATGGATGATTGAAATATATTGTCTTTTAATTTTTAGTAAAAGAAATAAAAACAAATGGATCTGAGAAATCGCACAAATCATATTATATAATCATCTTTAGGATTAATTAGAAGAATGTTGAAATTGTGAAAAAAAAATAGGAATTTGCTGAGGCTCCTGCAGATGTTGAGGCCCTCAGCTGTAGTTTAGCTTATGCCTAATTCCAGCGCTGATTACAGTTTAAGAAAGAAGTGTTAATGGGGTGCAGATTTATGTGTTAATATCGGCCTAGTTCTGTGGTTGAGTTTATTTATCTTTGTTATTTCTGTTATTTTTTTGTCTTCCAGACTTCTTGATGTTCTTGCCGGCCGCAAGGATCCCAAGGGGCTGACAGGTTCAATACTACTGGATGGGCTACCTCCCCCTGATAACTTTAAGTGTCTTGTCGGTTATGTTGTTCAGGTAATAATATTGGACAAATAAACCAGAAGGGAATGTCATTATAGAATGGTCACTTATTGCTGTCTGTTTCCCACGTGTACAGTTTAACAGCCTTCTGTCGTGAAACAGGCTGATACCTGTTGTTGGAGATCACATATTTTGGAAACGTTTGATTATCTAACTAGTTGACAAGGAGCAAGGATGAGGGACAGTAGCATTAAAATCAGAAGTAACCCATTTTTCCACTGCCGGGAAAAAAAAAACAACAACAAAAAAGTAGTGCCACACATTGTCTACGTCATTTTGGTTTATATTCACCTAGTCTAATATGGTGCTTTTTGAAGGGCTGGAATGAGTTAATTTTATTTACATTAATTTAAATGGAGAAAAATAGTTTTAGGATACAAGTTATTCACCAGAAAAGCTCAGTCAAAGGATGGATTAAATTGGTATCTTCAAGTTCACAGTAATTCTAATCTGCATCTGGACATAATTTTAGAATTGATCTAGGGCTTCAACTTCAGTACTTATTAAAATGTTACCAGGAAATGTCATGGAAAGTAAAGGCAGCTGGCATGAGATTGACCATCTCACTTATTGTGTACTGATAGGTCTATACAGTCTAACACCATATGCTGATGCTTTATTTTACATTACTCAACATATACTTGTAGTACCACTGGAAAAGTAACACTTATTCAGAAATTCTTACATTTAGGTGTAACTCAAACATAACATGTTATTTCTTAGGATGATGTTGTGATGGGCACGTTGACCATCAGAGAGAACTTTGAGTTTTCCGCTGCACTCCGTCTCCCAAGTACAGTCACTAAGGCAGAAAGGAAGAAACGAATTGACCAGGTTATTTTTGAACTAGGCCTGACAGAAGTTGCCAATTCAAAGGTGTGAGTTTATCTTAAGCCTTGTAATTTACATATTCATTGATTTTATTTGCATTTAGTTTTTCCTGTCGAATTTATTTGTAAATTTTAAAATTTTAAATTCACAGATTAATTGATTTTATGTGTTTAGTCCATGTTGTTTGGATTGTTTTGTTAAATTTTAAATAATGATGACATTCTCAATGTGAGTTCTGGGACCCTGTTTTGAAGTGGAAGGCCTGAATACACCCACTGATCCCTAACAAGCATGTCCTAAAAGGCGAGTGATTAGCATTGTTTCCTTTAAAGTCAAAGCGCCTCTGCCTAGGAGGCAAGGAACCAACAGTATGCATAAATATAAGTGAGGTTTGTAGAATTGATGTGAACCCAAAACTCAAGTTCTGGACCAAGACCAAAGTCCAGAAGTGGGTGAACAACCATAACTTTCCCCTATAGTTTACAGCGGATGAGCACGATGAAGAAGAAAATATCATGAAAGCACGAACATTATATTGAAAATTTTATTGCCTGGCATATTTTACTTTATCTCATCACATACATTACTACAGATTTTATATAAACAAGGATAGATAGTATGGGGAGGACATGGAGGGATCTTCAGTTGATAGAAAAGATGAATACTCAAATAATTTAAACGGTGAGGACATAAATAATAAATTGCACAATTTATTTCCTGCCATATTTTGCTCTATCTGACCATTTTAGTTAATTCAAGAACCGTAATTACAAAACTCAGGGCATTCGTTTAAGCACTCCATCCCTATCTTCAGCTGCCAGTGCATAGTTCCAATACCAAAGGTGCTAGTAGCAGTCTGATTATTCATCCATCTTGCCTTTCCTCTGAGCATCGAGTATTGGCCAAATCCCTTTGCCACTCCAAACTCCCTCACTCTCACCAGACTGGTGATCCATTTGCTCCTCCGAATTGTACACGTATTCCTATAAGGCATTGACAAATTCTGCCTTATCATGTATAATATTCCACCAAGTTTTGCTAAGCCAGAGAGTCTGTCCACCTGTTTATTTCCCAACATCTGTACACCTGTTTATTTCCCAAAATCTGTCCACCTGTTTATTTCCCAACATCTGTCCACCTGTATATTTCCCAACATCTGTCCACCTGTTTATTTCCCAACATCTGTCCACCTGTTTATTTCCCAACATCTGTCCACCTGTTTATTTCCCAACATCTGTCCACCTGTTTATTTCCCAACATCTGTCCACCTGTTTATTTCCCAACATCTGTCCACCTGTTTATTTCCCAACATCTGTCCACCTGTTTATTTCCCAACATCTGTCCGCCTATTTATTTCCCAACACACCAGCATGCCCCATGAAAAGATCCAGACAATGCTTCTCACCCATGAGCTCTGAAATGAAGAATGGCATTCTGCATGAAACATGCCTGTCCTTACCTTCTTCAGCATGCTTTCTGAGTCAGTTATTATAACAATATGTGTGTGTATCATGTTCTCTAACCAGTGGAAAGATGCAGTGACCGCCTCCACCATTCTTAAGCTGGATGTTGTGGTATCATATGCTTGGCTCTCCCGCACCAAACGTCGACCATTATCTTTTGCTAAGAATCTCCAAGCACTTCTTTTGCCTTGACACTGAACTGTCTGTATAATTAATCATGTCACCTGAGTGAGCATTAACTGGAATTAATTGCTGAATTTCCACCTCCATGGCACCTGCTGGCCACTCTTTGCACTCTTGGCTCAATATGATTGTGACTTTACACAAATCTGACTGTTTTGCTGGCACTCTGACCCACTTCTCTCTTCACCTTATGCTCTCCAGAATGCAAACATGTCTGATCGTGTCCTCATGTATCTGACCAGCTACTTTACTACAAAGAATATGAAAAAACTGAATATTAGGAGGGCATGGAGAGAACTACTGGTGAGAGAAAAAATCGGAGTAACTGAATGTGAGTTAGTTCACAGTAAATGGTCCAGTCTTCTTCTTCTTCGCATTCACCTGTTATAAATAAACTCTGGCAGAAAGTTCTAATTGTTCATCCGCTTTTGGATTTTTAGTCTTGTTTCAAAACTTGAGGTTTTCATTCCCATTCATTTTACAAATCTGGTTTATATGTATGCATACTGTTAGTTCCTCACCTCGTAGGCAGTGTGCTTTGACTTAGAAGGAAACAGTCCTAATTGTTTGCTTTTTATGACAGGGTTATTGGTGGTGGTTGGGGGGGGGGGGGGGGGGGGTGCAGTGGCTCTGCTGCTCTGTTTCTTTTCTCCCCCACTATGGGGTCCTGGAACCCATATGGTGACCCACTCTGGTGAGGATAAAGATTAGAAGTAGACTGTCTGGGCAGGCAGGGTACTAAAAAAAAAAAAAATTATGCACATAAGTGTACTGACTGATTTTGATTTTCATGTTATAGGTTGGTAATCAGTTTATACGAGGTGTGTCTGGTGGTGAAAGAAAGAGGTGCAACATAGGAATGGAACTGATTATCTCACCTCCGGTTCTGTTTCTGGATGAACCCACCACAGGACTAGATGCTAGTACAGCAAATGCTGTTATGCTGTTGTTAAAGAGGTGAGTATTTGTCTGTTGGCTTGCTTGTGTGGGTTTGAGGGCCCATAGTGTCCTCCCTTGTGCTGTGATCTGTTGGCCTGTGATTCTAACAGTGTAGGCATTGAATAATGCTGGAGATAGGGGGTGAGCCTTGTAGCAGGCCAGGATGTATTGTTGTTGGTTCAGAGGCTCTGCTGCCATACTTAAATACTACCATTCATTGTAGAAGGGCTGTAGAGATCCATCTGAGGAGGAAAAAACTGATATGTATGTAGTTCTAGTAGCTGAAACATCAAAAAAAAGACCAAGGGTACTTGGTTGTAAACATCCTTGAGGTCAATAGCAGCTGCACAGGTTTTAATGCCTGAATGGAACCCCTCATATATGTCGTGGGAAAAACAGCAGCATTACTCCAAGTTTCTCTGTTGGGACTGTAGCAACCAAAGGTAGACGGAAAGACGCCTTGCATTTTGAGCTGGAAAGATTTTGGGGGCAGTAATTTTCTTCATCAGCTTGCCTATCGTATTCTGCATTGTAATTTTTATTACTCTGTATCCCTGGATCTTTGTGTGGTCTTTGTCAGACTTCAGCAGAGGAATTAAGTAGCTGTTGTGTCCACTCTTATTCGAGATTCCGCTCTCTAATGCTGTTGTTGTAAACAGCTGCCAGTTCCGCTAGCTTCTTTCGGAACATTTTTCTACATCTTCATATCATATGCCATCTGGACCCGAAGACAATGGCTTGAATCATTACAGAAGTCCACTGTGCGTGGAGTCACCTTTATTTTTGTTCCGGGACACGCAGGCGTCGATGGAAATGAAAGTGCTGACAGGTTGGCTGGATCCGCTATCACTACCGACGCTCAGCCTATGGATCATGCTGATATTATCAATGCCCTCAGAGAAATGGGAAGGATAGAGGACTTTGGTGGCAGTGAATCAACATCACTCGCCAGAATGGCAGACTTGGGAATTAAGATCGGTACAGCAAAAAACGAGACGCACACCAGACACGCCAGAAGACTTGTTAATCAACATAGAACTGGTACTATTAGCCATCGGACGTTGCGGTTCATACTGAGGGGAGGATCTGAGCACCTATGGACATGTCCGGAGTGCAATGAGGATAACCCAACTAACTAACTAACTAACTAACTAACTAACTAACTAACTATCGATTTCCTGTGTCTTACACATATTTGAGATGGCTGTTCTGGCAGTGTTGCTTGCTCGCTGGTTTCTCTGGCCACACTGTTCTAGATGGTGGTTGAACAGAGCCTTGCCTTTATGTTCGTCTAATTTCTGCTCTTTGTCTCTGCTCTTTCCCTGCCCCGTTCATACTCTTGTGGAGTCACCAGAACAGTTTCAATGACCTGTTAACATAGTTCTGCCCACTTTTCCTGTCTACGCTAGAGTTTCGAATCTGTGGGTCTTTTTTATCGATGTCTTGTTTTAAAAACAGGATGTAGTCACACTAGGCTTTCTCTCTTTTCCTAGCATTCTGCCACTTCCTCTGTCCAGCATTCTGCATCATTTTTCTGCCCAAGCATTTTCTACCTCATCGTTCCACCAGGGAGGTTGTTGCTAGCTTGTCCTTTTGCTGCATTGATCCAGCGCCTCAAATGCCTTATTCTGCCCACCACATCCTGCCTTGTCCTATCATATTTAAAGGTCTTCACTTTTTGTCTATGACTCCTAGATCTGCCTTTCTTCACCACTATGCTGCAGGGATGGTATCACTGCATTGCTGTCTCAGGACACCCCATCAGCACACTGTAGCTAATGGTGGGGAAACCAGTGCCTGGTCAATAACGCTGTTTTCATCTCCTGCTCTGCTTGCAATTCATGTAACACAACCACTGTTGATGCAACAAGGTCAGTGGTTTCAGGAGAATCCTTAAGCTCCTCACCTTGTATGTTTAAAGAAAAGTTTCTCCTTTAATGTTAAAATCACCACAAAAACTGATGTTTTCCTGACTAAACTCTATAACCTCTGAGGCACTGCCATTTCTTTGTGTTTACTTTCATGTTGATCAACACAAAAGGATGCTCCGAGAAAACTTTAATTTCATGTATTTGTTGTGCGTCACTGTCTCAGCGAGACATGTCTATCTCTGTGGCAACAATATTGTTGGATACAAGGATGGCCATTACCATGTGTCCCCTGTTTTAGAAACAGTTGCAACCAGCCACTTTTGACATATCATCACCTAATTGCGTCTCTTGAAGAGCTACGATATCGGCACTGTAGATGGGCTAAAAGCTGGGAGCCAAAACTGGCTGGGAGCCAAGGTAATTTTAAAGAAAGCCAGATTCCTTAAGGCAGGGCTCCATGGTCGGGCGGAAAAAAGAATAGACCCTCATCCTCCCTAAAAACAAGCATGTCACAAGGGTCGACTAATTGTAGGTTTCCTCTAAACTCAGAGTGTATCTGCCTGAGAGGCAAAGAACCAGCTGTCTGAATACAAATAAGCTAAATCTGTAGAATGGATGTGCACACTGAACTCCAGTTCTGGAACATGCTGAAAGTCCTCAAGTGGACAAATAACCAGAACTTTCTGCCAGAGTTTTCAGTCAGTAAACGTGAAGAAGAAATAGGTAAATATTCACATATCCTTTTAAAGCATTGTAGAGCAGTATTTACCATTGTGTGGTATGTTGACTACTACGGGCCTGCAGAGTAAATTTAAGGTATAATTAAAGGTTAGTTGCAAATACTTTACAGGACCTTGCAGAACCAGCCCCAACAGCCCCTGGCTGTTGTATGGTTTTTCTAGGCAAATTTACGTCCAGTAGTTTGCCATTTCTTTCTAGACGGTCGGCTTTCTTGATACCACTGTCAAAACCAAACGCAAGGCGCATGGCCCGCAGCTTGGATTGAACCTGGCATCCCGGCATTACAAAGCGTTCGCATCGACTTAGCCACAGAGCCGACAATAATAATAATTACAATTGCAAAAAAATCTGTGGTTAGAATGCAATTCTAGACGTTGTGAACGCGCTTTGTAATGCCAGGGTGCCGGGTTCGATCCCAGCTGTGAACCTTGCACCTTATGTTGGTTTCGACAGTAGTATTAAGAAGCTGACCTTATAGAAAGCAATGGCAAACTGCTGGACATAAATTTGCCTAGAAAACCCCCTAACAGCCAAAAAAATGCAGGGGTTGGTTCTGCAACGTCCAGTAAAGGATACACAACTAACTAACTAATATTTATACATTATAATTTCTACAGTATTATGGCTAACAATTATAGAGTTCACGACAGACCTTTGAAAGTAAGGAAGGGTCTGCATGCCTTAGCTGTTGGGCGCCAGTTATGTAAATCAAGGAAATATTTGCATTTCTATAATTTTTTTTCATTCACTGTTCTTGTTTCAGTCTAAATTCTAACATTTTGACATCAATTTTCACAGATTATCTGACCATGGCCGCAATATCATTTTTTCAATTCATCAACCTCGATTCTCCATCTACCGCCTGTTTGACTCTCTGATGCTCTTGTCTCATGGAGATACTGTCTACCATGGACTATCTGAGGAAGCACTTCAGTATTTTGCTTCTGTTGGTAAGGGGAAATTATTACAAAGGGTTATGAGCTAAAGGATTTAACCTGTTGCCTTGGGAAAGGTGTTTTATTTTCCTAAGGTGTATATGGGTTTTTGATTATGTGAAATGTTTGGGAAGTAGCCGCTATATCTACATCTTTAGTACAGTTTGTAGTTGTGATGGTTATGGCCATATTACCCCCAAAGGATTGAGATATCATTTGAGGTGAAAAAAGAATCACGTTTTAAAGAAATTGCAAGATCATCATTATCGTCGTAATCTCCATATGGCTGTCAACATGTGGACCACTTGTTTCATTGTCAAAGGGAGGGAAAGATACAAATTCTTTGCTCTGTATTTAGTGATTAATTTCCTTACTTAAATAAATTTTATTGGTCATAAAAGTGAAAAAATGAAATATTAATATGGTTTACTTTAATGATTTGATGATCACAGTGTCGCAGTGGCCATCACACTTGCATGCCTAGTGATAATAGGTTTCAACCTCCTGGTTTAAAAAATTTTTTTTTTCATTTATAAAAACTGGCCAAGACTTCAAATTTTGTTGTTTTTTTTTCTTCTCTTTTTTTCAAGTTTTTAGGGTATCCATCCATCGATCCATCCATTAATGAAAAAAAAAATATCGACCACGTTCAACCTACTGTGAGCAGCATAGGTTATAATTGTGGTCTAGTTTTCTTGTGCCAGTTTTGTAGTCTAAGAAATGTGAATTGTACCAAAACTAGTGTCTTGTAGTGGTACTCTAGTACCTAGTGAGGATTGTTGGGGAGGGGGCTTGTATGCACTAAACACAACTACACACATATATAGACATACATGTACAATTACACACACACAAACACATGTATATATATATATATATATATATATATATATATATATATATATATATATATATAGATATAGGCACATACACACATATATGTACACACACAACATACATGTCTGCAGGCCCACACATTTGCATACACCCACATGGATATATTCACACATGCGTACACACCCACGCAGTAGTGCATGCACACATGTTTACACACACACATGTATATACATGTACACTCAAGGGAGATGCCATCGTGTAGTAGCCAGATGCTTGCCTGTGAATCAGAAGGCCATGAGTTCAGATCCCGATGAAGCCGGATTTTTTTTCTTTAAAAAAAAAGACAATAGTTTTTCTTTTTAGGTCCACCCAGCCTTGCATTGGCACTATTGTTGTATATGATAAAACCTGCAATTTTGGCCATATCATATATGTGACACCCTCTCAATATCCCTAATTTAAGGGGACAGTTAGGCAGTCTTGGCCGGTTTAGGTTGTTTCACACAATTTAATTCCTTCTCCTTTATTATTATTCTTCCTCAGTTCTTTTTTTCTCACCTCACCGTATCTGTCTTATTATATCTGTATCTATAGAGACTTATATTTTTTACCTGTCCTGCAAATGAATTTTTTATATTTGTTTCTCTATGCTGTCATTGCTATCAACGTGTAAGCGCTCCTTGGATGTCAATGACCTATTTAGTTTTTGAAAATAGTCTTTCAGGGGTTTTCTTGCCTGTTTATATAGGGTGCATGTTAGCAGGAAGTTCTATATTGTGTTTTCCTGAAAGCAGTCTAAGCATAAGGGTGCTGTAAATTTGGCTTTCTAGTATCCAAGTCCTTATCTCCATAATTTGTTATTTGCTGGAATTTTTAGGTTTTCTGTGACATGCTGACATCAACATGTCAGGGCGGGTTCTCTGAAATATTCACATGCCTTTCTGCCAGTAGCACTCATTTCTCACTGTCTCTTCCACATTCCTGTAATATACCGTTTGATTTGACTCTTCCTTTGATTTTTTCCTAGGCCTGTTTCTATTACATTGTGGCTGCTGGTACCTTTTTTTTGTTGTTGAAAACCATATCCTCCTTTTCATAACCAGCTATGCCTTTATGCACTGGAACCCATGCTATGGTGATCTGGCATTTGTTATTCTAAGCTTTGTAGTTACAAACCCAGGTCACTTGACCAGGGAGGTCTTAACTACATAAAAAACTAAGAGATGATAATGAATAATATGGGAGGGGACAAGGAGAGAGCTGCAGCAGATAGCAAAGGAAATGATGACGCTATGTCAACAGAAGTAGCATAATTTGTATGTTTGATACTTTCCAGGTTACATTTGTGAAGAACACAACAATCCACCAGATTTCTTCCTTGACGTCATCAATGGAGACTCTACAGCATTAACGTCTACAGCTGCATTGGCAGCAGCAGCAGCAACAGTTCAGGATGAAGATGACAAAGAAGAACCTGATTCTAATAATGGGCTTATAAAGCCAAAGGACAGTAAGTGTTAGTTGTGTCATCATCATCATCATCTATCAGCAGGTCCTCTGTAGCCTGTCACTCTCATCAGGGTATGCCTGAAAGTCTCTCTTTCTCTAGCAGTTCAGCCTTGTGTGCTATCATAACCAATGCATCTTCAATGTCTGGTATCCACCTTCATGGAGGTCTTCTGCTGCTTTGTTTTTTTTTTCATTGTGCCCACCATCACTCTTATCTCAAGACCACCGTGACGATTTACATGGCCAAAATGACCTCAGCTTTCAGGACATGATCTCTTTGTGAGCCAATTCGCATCGATGCCTAGACCATCTAAGATATTGATGTATCAACATTTAAAAAACAATGTTTGTAGTAATAAAGCTGACTGCTCTTTTGTTTCTGGGCCCATATGGGAAGCAGTAAATAGTAAAACTATCCTACTATGCATGTTGTAAGAAATGACTTCTTCTTTCATGGATGCTGTCTGAATTTATCACATTTTAGGGTCGTGTAGAACAGGGTCTTTAGTCTAAGGATTTAGGGTCGTGAACACTGTGCAGTCACCATTAACTGTGCAGGCTGGGAACTTTTTTTATGTGTGTGTCACTGACATAAAAAACCTCTATCACCTTACTGAAAATTTGAACCTGGGTGTCCTGCAAAAGACACCAATATTCTGACTGTTTGGTCAGTCAGTCCTAATGAAATTACTACAGCCTGATATAAAACAGAACCACTATATGTACTCACCAGTTGGGCATACATCTTCTGTAAAGTGATAATTCTTTGAGTACCAAGTTCTGAAGAGCATCATCCAGATTCTGTCATCAGCTTCAGCTAACTATGTAATCAGTTTGTGGTGCCTTGCAATCTGTATTTTGATGTTTAAATCCCTCTCAAAGCAATGCTTAGGTTGATGTGCCCATTTTTACACCATCAGGTCCTATGGCAGTAGTTTCTGTTGCCTGGTTTTTCATATTTTATGCCTCTTTTATATTTCTTAATACATTTGATTATTTGATAGTCTTGTCTTTACTGCCTGTATTCGTTAAAAAAAAATTAGTGTAGTGTACCACAAGGGGCCCTTTCTTTCTGTTCTGTTTTTTTCTCTTCAGATTTCTTCCTAAAGGTTTGACCGCAATGAGATAACAAAAAGGTTTGTTCTGGATGGCAAGCCATCAGGCGCAGTCAATAAGAGGCTCGCTTTCAAATCCAGCTGTGACTCGCTGCAGCCACGGTCGGTGTTCAAAACCAGGCCGTTCCCAGGGTTCACCAAGCCTCTAGGAAATGGGTACCAGAGTTGACACTCTGGGGTAAATGGAGGAACGTCGCTGTAGCTAGAGTTATGTGCGAACGGCGACACAGGCGGACAATTCTTATCAGTTGTCCGTACTGGTGGCAGAGCACTTATGGTTTATAACCATGTGTAATGACGCTGGTTCACATCTCTCGACTTTACCTTTACCTTTTACCTTGAACTTTCAATTCCATTGAAGTATAAATTGGACACCCATAGTGGTTACACTAGCGAGTTGTAACCTGAATTTCTATGAGGCTAAGAGTAATAATGGAAATGTCTTGAAAGAAGCTGACTCACAAAGAGAACTGATTGCTCAATCAGAAAGAGACAGTGTCTACATTCTTTGATCATGTCATGGGAAGGGGATAGAACTGGGGTACATCGTGACAATAGGAGAGCTGGAGCAGAAGAGAGGCAGAGGGAGACACAAGAGAGAAGATGCTGGACAGTTTGACATCATGGCATGGAAGATCATTTGTGTTAGAGTAGATTGAAGACAGAAGGTTGTGGATTTTCTTCTGTGTTCACCAGCTGTAAGTTGTGGAGGAAAGTCCTAGTTGTTTGTCCATTTGGACTTTGGCTTAAAGCCAGGGCCTGAGTTCTGCATGTACATCCATTTTACTGACTTAATTGTGTGCAGTTGGTTGTTCCTTGCCGCTAGGGCAGATGCACTCCGACTTTGAAGGAAATTCCCATTTAGTCGACTCCTACGACATACTTGGGGAGTCATTGAGTCTATTCTTTTTTCTTCTTCTTTTTTCCCCCACAATGGGGCTCTGGAACCCACATGGGGAGAAGGTTATGAATAGACATGACTAACAGTGCCACATGGCCTGGACTATAAGAAGAAAAAAAGGGTTGTCTATGGAGACAATCTAAATTTTTTAGTCATGTCATGAGAAGGAGAAAACAGGAGTACATCGTGACAGTGGGAAAGTTGGAGGAGAATGAGACAGAAGAGACCTTAAGAGAAGATGCTGGACAGTTTGGCATCTTGGCGTTAAAGATCATCTGTGTCAGAATTATTTCAAAGTACATGAGACAGAAGACTGTGCATAGACATGACTACCAATGCCATACAGCATGGACTTTAAGAAAAAAGAAGGGTTGTCTGAGTACGAGGATTTCTGTTTCCTTATAGTACTTTAAAAAAAAATGCTGATCTATTGGATTGGCAGGTATTTATTTTACTATTATTGTCTATCTAATTGATTTAATATTCAAAGAATTTATGAACTTTCTTCTCTAAGTCTTTATCTTTTTAATGGTACTTGATCAGTTTGTCACAGAAACTAACAAAATTGTTTTAAGATATTAGTTTTCAAATAATCTTTTTTTTTTTTTAAAAACCTTTTTAGATCCAAATTAGTTTAGTTTATCAGTTATGTCTGTGTTCATTAGGATTTGTTTTGTGCAGTTATTCTGTTATTGTTTTCATTTACAGAAAATGTAACAGACCATGTCATTGCAGTAGATGGTAAGTAGCAGTGACCATATATTGAAGTTTAATTGAGCATTTCATTTATGAGTGTGTTTGTGTGTGTGTTTGTGTGTGTGTGTGTGTGCGTAGATGCGTCCACACTCATGCATGAATGTGTGCATGCATGCATGCATGTCATCATAGGCAACTAAGAATGACTGATGTGTGAAAGACTAACTCAACCCATTGAAAAGTTTAAACTGTACAATTCAGTCAGTCATGAAAGTTTACAAAGGACTAGGTTTGAGTTGGTGGATGGTCTTGTCCCCACTGGGGAGTGAAAGGGAGAACATCTACAGAAAGTGTGGAAATGAGAAAAGACACTGAAACAAATGGAAGTCGCCATAGTATATCAGCTAGACTCTTGCCTGAGGATCGGAAGGTCTCGGGCCACATTTTGGGGAAAATTATAAGACCCAGTGCCTCCCTAACAGCAGGCATGTCATGGGAGGCGACTTAAGTGGGAGGTTTCTTTCAAAGTGAGAGTGCCCCTGTCTGAGCGGCAATGGATTAGAATTCTTTGTACAGATGAGCCAGATCTGTAAAACAAATGTGTACACAAAGCTGAAGTGTGGAAAAAGACAAAAGTCCATATGTGAACAAACAACTAGAACTGTCCACCAAAGTTTACATCTGGTAAACACAAAAAAAAAGAAATATTGTGGCTGGCTGGTAACACATATTATTTTGTTAACAGGAAGCAACGTACCTCTGAAGGACCTGTTCAGTCAGTCCAGGTGGTGTGCCAAGTAAGTGTGCCATTTAGCATATTTATTTTAGTTCATGAGATTAGTTCTTTTTTCTATATTATCATCTTTATCTTTATCATCCTCTTTATTTTGAACATCACCATCATCATGTACTATGCTGGTAAATGTAAGCTGTCATGATTTGCACTGTCACGTGATCACAGAATCAAGGATCAGTTCATTGTTCTTGTCTTGCCCCATCCATTTTGTCAAAGCATTCAGGTATTTTTTACAGCGTTGCCTCGTCCTTGCTCTTTTTTTAATCAGTCTTACAGGTCATCACAAGTTCATTTCTTCTGATAACATGTCTTAAAAACACAGATTGCTGGAAAGTCTGCTGGAATAAAAGGCAGATTTGATACCCTTCTGTTACCATTTGTTGTTGTAACCCTATTTGCCCAAAATATTAACTAGACTACCCTTGAATTATCAGTTGAAGTTTTTCTGCAGTATAACAGCTGTAGCGTGGAAGACTTGATAAGAAGAGATGCGTGGCATGAAAGATGCTGACAGAAAGATGGCTGTCATTGACCTGGTGAAAATAAAAGGAAGTGAAATAACCACATTTAAAAAATCACCTAGTTTTTTTTTTTTTTTAACTTGAGTATAAACCTTCATATTGTTTGGGTAAATGGGAAGAGAAACAGACAGGTATCAGAAGGTTTAATCTTTATACTTTATGAATAAATTTTTTCTGTGTGGATTCCGAGCCCCATTTTTGCGCGCGGGGGGGGGGGGGAAATAGACTCATTGCCTTCCTAACAGCGTGTCATAAAAATTTACTAATTAGGAATGTATCTTTAGTAGTTAAAAGTTTTAGAACAAGACCAAAGTCCAGAAGTGGACGAACAGTCAGAAATTTTCCGCTGGAGTTTACAGCCAGTGGACACTAAGAAGAAGAAAAGGTAGAAATCAATTTTAAATTAATAGCTGACATGAATCAGTGATGTGGGAGTCTTATTTTAAATGTTCAACTCCCTGTGTGAGTTTCAGGAGCACTTTTTTGGAGAGGAAAAAACTGACCCACTGCTCCTTAACAAGACAATTTATTAAGGATGTATTGGGCTGAAAGTCACAGATATCACATTATAATTAATACACATTCTTTGCAGCATAAAAAAAACAGAGGTAATTAACAGGCATAAATATCCAATACTGAAATACAAGAAAAACCTCTATATGTCACAATTATAACGCAGAAAGGTTAAACGGAGTATCGTTGTTTAAAAATACTAATACTTCCTTTTTTTTGACAGAGTGTCTGATGAACTGAATTTAATATGGGGCGAGCATATGAGAGAAGTAAACAGTGGTAATGACATCCAAATAAGGAAGATTGAATACAAAAGCTCCTTTGCGACTCAGGTGAGTAAAACTAGAGGGTGACAAGTTGAGTTGTTATCTTTATATGTCATTGTAACTTTTATCATGGTAGCAATGACAGTGCACGCTCATATTTTTGGTCAGAGTCCTTAGGCAGAGAATAGTGACACTGTTAAATACCATGCATGTCATAAGGGAAAACTATTGTCTTAAGGGATGAGAAATTGATCGTTACAGTCTGGAGAGAATGGTTCAACAAAGAGTCACTAAGGAATCTGGTCAAAATTTTACACTCAGAGGACAGGCAAGACGGTCATATAATTAAACTACTACTACTGGTACCATCAGAATTAGAACTCTCTTCTGGCTGCTGAAGATGAGAATGAAGGGTTTATGTGAATGTTGAAAGTGCTGTGATGTTGGTTCTTAACTCATCTCATTTCAGCTGTTTGGATATGAAGGGGTTTAAATTATAACAGCGTAGGAAAAGGAATCAGAGTAACAGTTGGGCTAGAAAAGATTTCTGTTGAATCTGGTTGAGGCAGAGGAAGCTCAGAAAAGTATATAGTGCCAGAGTAATCCTATTAACACATGGTGAGTGGTTTGTTTCAGAAAGAGATAAAGATAGTACCACACTATGATCTTCAAACATAATGTCCAATTAAACAGAACATATCTTTAAAAAAAAAAAGCATATCTCTGAATCTTATCATGCATATATTATTATTATTATTTTTTAATTATTAGAAGTAGGAAAAAAATAATTCATAAAATCAGTGAAATAAGAACAGAATATTTGATAAATTGCATAACCAATTTGTAAGCTTTTGAAAATAACATTTGTTTGATCGTTTGTTCGTTTGTTATTGCCTTTTATTATTGCCTATACATTTCTAAGACAGCTGGGCATCATATACTACTGTGTCAAAATTGATAAACTGGTAAAGAAGCTATTATTGCGGGACAAAAATTGAAAGAAAAATAGATAATTATTATAGTGATTATAACCTGTTTAAGGAATTTTAAAATATTGTGCTATTTTTGTGTTTCAGTCATGTGAACTTAATTCCTTTTGCATATGTTTTGTAAAACTTGTTTTCTTCTTGTATTTGATTCATGTAAAATTCCTTGTTTGCATTTTATCCATGTAACATATTCTTTTCTTGTATTTCATCCATGTAAAATTATTGCTCCTTTTGTGTTTCATCCATGTAAAACTTTCTTTCATTATTTTTTGTGCATGTAAAACAAATTATTCAATCTCCCAAGATCATAACGGTTTCTGGGAGATGCATTAAGAATGTGGTCAGGAATCCTCAAGTATCTGTGATGCAGGTGGGTATTGTTTTTGTATATATAGATTCAGTTTTCATTATAATTTATATTAAGCCATTTATTTCACTGTTGATTAGCAACTTATCATTTGCAAAACTCGTAATACAGTGGATACCGTCTCATTGTGGAGTGCCTGGAAATGAGAAAGCTGATCTACTGGCAGGGGAAGGTGCGACAAAAGTGCAGCCGGATGTACCAGTCACATATCACCAAAAGAAAAGAATCATTAAATCGATCAGGAAACCACCAGCCACAGCACAAGACGACTATTTTATTATGGACAGACCAGAACAAGTTATTATCCTCTGCCTCAGAACAGGGCACAACCTATTACGTAACCACATGTACACAAAATTCAAAATAGGCGTAACAGCCATGTGCACCTGTGGAAAGATGCCCCAGACAGCAGAGCATGTACTCCAGGACTGCACCGAATTTGACACATTAAGGCAAACCTTTTGGCCAAAAAGAACAACAGTGGAACATAAACTCTGGACCACTAAATGAACTAACGACGACAGTGAAATTTATACAAGAGACAAAACTGCTGATATAGACAACTTATTTCAGGCGAACGAAAGAAGAAGAAGAAGAAGAAGATTTGTAAAATGTTATCATGTTTTTGAAAGGACCCTTTTTTTATGCCAATGATGCCCTAGGCATATTATATGAGACTCTATTTTAATAAACCCATCAACCCTTGCTGGGTGATGTGGTGTAAACATCACGCCAGCCTCCTTTATTTCCCAGGACATTATCTGGCATTTATTTCAGGCTGGGTCAGCCTGCGAGCAAAGATCAGTTCTAAGGGAAAATCTGTCTTAGTGCTTATTCAGACCTAAGACCTTCAGACTAGGATATGAGCAACTAGTCACTATTGCGGCACACATATAATTTTAGTGCCATAAAATTTTTATTTTTCTGTCTGGTATTCCCAGTTGAGCTAGGCTGTCAGTCAGCTCACACCAAGTTTTCATGTTTTTTGACATTTTACCCACCTCTCTAATTCATTTTTTTTTTAAATTTATTCAGTCAGTCTTTATTAGTTTGGTCCTGTGGGTTGCATTGCAAGGACATTCTAGTTATACTATCAAGTTTTCTCAGTATGTTTCCTTCTCAATGCTTCTTGTATCATTATGATTTTAGCTGTGTGTAAGTGATACTATTATATCAGAATGTAGTTAGCATCCTTTTGTACCTTCTCTCGATCTTTTGAACAAGTGATGTTTAAGTGTGGAAAACATGGTACTTGCATAAATGCGAAGAATGAGAAATTGCTGTTCAAATAAATTATTGGCATAATATATCTTCTGTCTTTCAGCTCACAGTGTGAGCATAAGTCCCCAGCCGGCTCACTAAAGTTTTAATTAAACTGACATCATAGCATGAGGGAATATCCATGTGTTCCATTCCTGTCTTCAACAGCCAGCAGTGGTGCCAGTAGCAGTCTGATTGTTTGTTTGTTTTGTCTTTCCTCTTAGTGTAGTGAGTATTGGCAAGATCCCCTAGTCTGTCCCCACAGACCTATTCTTTGGGAGACTGTGATGATCTGTTTGTGCCTCACTCTAAACCCTTTGTAGACTTGTTTGTGACTGGTTAGAGCTTGCCCTGAAAGTTGGCCATTGATTAAGTTAGGCAGTCTCATGCCAACTGTCCTTTGTCACCTCTTATGACTTACAGTAGTGATTGCCACCTATTTTGACTCACACAGCCCTTTTTGTAATCATTTTCTATGTCAGAGCCCCTTACTGTACCCTATATCTTACAAGTTAATGGTGTTTAGATAGAGATAAGATCAGGAATGAGATCATAAGAGAACAAGTCGGCACAGAACCAATTCTGGATTACATACAAAGACAGCAAGTGAAATGGTTTGCCCACTTAGAGAGAATGCCTTGTGACACCATACCATTCAAAGCATACATGGAAAGAGAAGAAGGAGGTAGAGCACGGGGTAGACCAAGAACAAGATAGAAGGATAACATCAGAGAAACTCTACAACAGCACGATGTGCCCATGGTCGAGGCAGCCAGAAGAGCTAGAAACAGAACCTTATATCTCCCTCGACACCCACAGCCGTAAAAGAGGAAGTGAAGAAGAAGAAGATATTGAATGTGACACAGAGTGCCATAGCAGGCCCATTCACTTTCATTATTTGTCAATAATTGTGGAGCTGGTGGCAGCAGGTTGTACTGTTTCTTAGCCTTTAACTTCATTCATTTTTTTTTAAAAATAATTTTTTTATTTCACTCTTTCTTAGAGCACTTGCGGAGCTTCTTAGGGGTGCACTCAGAACCCCTAGGGCCCCACTGAGCACCATTTGGGAACCACTGACTAACAGTGAAACTTCTTCTGTGTTTGCCCTTACAAGAGCAGTTGGCCTGTTGTTTTGATTTATAGCTAGGCTGCAAAATCTGCACTTTTTGGTCCAAAACATCCAGTTTGAGCAAACCACCAATTAGTCACCAATGGGGTTCAGAACCAATATAGGGAACTATTTACTTATTTTAGTGACCCCAGTAACACATGGGTGTCAGTAAATAACATGCTGGCTTTTTTCTGTGTTGTCCACTGAATGTCACTGAGCTGTTGTCATGCAACAAACATTTACATATAGCTACTTAAACAAAAGGCTGACACCTTTTAAATAATAACCTCAACATTATTCTTACAGTTTGCAGTCATATCTGTCTTTGCACTGATAGTTGGCGCTGTGTATTTTAAAACTAGCTCGTCCAAAGAAACGGCAATTCAGAACAGGTAAATATGATTCATTTTCAATACGCATACATTTTTGTATAATAATGTATATATATATATTTTACCTGCAAACATTTGGTGTCACCAACTGAAAAAAGAAGGCCAACCAGTGAGATGAATTAAGGTGGGTGATATCTGCACCAATGAAAACTCAAAGTCTCAGAACGCTGAAGAAGAAGAAGAAGAATGTGTATATTTTATTATAATGGGATAGTTTGCTAACACATCTTATCTTAAATTACGTCCTGTCTGACATCATCTGTCCTTTTAACATGCCAATCTGTCAATATTTGAACTCATTTGTCAACTATAAACAGTTCCATTTGTCAACTATAAACAGTTCCAAATGTCAACCATAAACAGTTCCATTTGTCAACTATAAACAGTTCCATTTGTCAACTGTAAACAGTTCCATTTGTCAACTATAAACAGTTGACAATTTTCAACTATAAACAGTTGACATTTGTCAATTGTAAACAGTTCCATTTGTCAACTATAAACAGTTGACAATTTTCAACTATAAACAGTTGACATTTTGTCAACTATAAACAGTTGACAATTTTCAACTATAAACAGTTGACATTTTGTCAACTATAAACAGTTCCATATGTCAACCATAAACAGTTCCATGTGTCAACTATAAACAGTTCCATTTGTCAACTACAAACAGTTCTATTTGTCAACTATAAACAGTTCCATTTGTCAACTATAAACAGTTCCATTTGTCAGTTATAAACAGTTCCATTTGTCAACTATAAACAGTTCCATTTGTCAATTGTAAATAGTTCCATTTGTCAATTGTAAACAGTTCCATGTGTCAACTATAAACAGTTCCATATGTCAACTATAAACAGTTCCATGTGTCAACTATAAACAGTTCCATGTGTCAACTATAAACAGTTCCATGTGTCAACTATAAACTGTTCCGTGTGTCAACTATAAACAGTTCCATGTTTCAACTATAAACAGTTCCATTTGTCAACTATAAACAGTTCCATTTGTCAAATATAAACAGTTCCATTTGTCAACATGCATGCCAGCCTTTTAATATCTGGGCCCATTATTTAACTTCTAGACATATTTATCCACATTTGAAACCATCTGTCAGCATTTGGACCAATTTATCAAAATGTTGGACCGATCTGTCCACATTCACCCATTTATCAACATCTGGATCCCTCTCTCTATATCTAGCTATTGTCAGGACTCGGTTACCATACAAACCTGTCTTTCTTCATCTGGACTCATCTTTCAACATCTGGACTCATCTTTCAAAATCTGAACTCATCTTTCAACATCTGGACTCATCTTTCAACATCTGAACTCATATCTGAAAATCTGGACCCATCTTCCAACATCTTGACTCATGTCTAAAAATCTGGACCCCTCTTCCAACATCTGGAATGTCTAAAAATCTGGACCCATCTTCCAACATCTAGAATGTCTAAAAAACTGAACCCATCTTCCAACATCTTTACTCATGTCTCAAAATCTGGACCTATCTTCCAACATCTGGACTCATATATCAAAATCTGAACCTATTTGTTAGCATCATGTCCCTTCTTTTAATACCATACCCCTATCTATTAACACCCTGCCCTGTTTATGATCTGCAACAGTCCATTATTAGCACCTATCAAACATCAGGACCAGTTTACCTGGTCATGTCCACATTTATTCACATCCTGCCATTCCATGTGTCTTTTTCCCAAGCCCTTCCCACTCCCCAGTGTAACCATGACATTGATACAGGGATTTCATGTATACCATAATTATTAATTTCCTTTTCTTTTACAACAGAGTTGGAGCTTTCTTCTTCATCATCATGAATCAAGTGTTTGGCAACATGTCGGCAGTAGAGCTCTTTATTAATGAAAGGGCAATCTTCATGTGAGTATACAGACACAGCACACCTCAACCAATTTCATACATCTCTGTATGACCATCTTTATTATTTCACACTCACTCTACTCTCTCTCCAAATGATCATCTTTAATATTTCTCACTTATTCAACTCCCTCTCTATAATAAAGACTTTAATATTTCTCATTCAATCCACTCTCTCCCTGCATGACCATCTTGAATATTTCTCACTCAGTCACCTCTCTCCCCTTCCTCCCTAAATGACCAATTTACTACTCCTTATTCAATCAGCTTCCTCTCTATATGACCATCTTTAATATTCTTTACTCGGTCAGCTCCTTCTGTTTATGACCATCTTTAATATTCTTTACTCAGTCAACTCCCTCCTTAAATGACCATCTTTAATATTCATCACTCGGTCAACTCTCTCCCTATATCACCATCTTTTATATTCCTCAGTCAACTCTCTCCCTTTATGACCATCTTTAATATTCCTTATTCAGTCAACTCTGTCCCTTTCTGACCATCTATAATATTCCTCAGTCAGTAAACTCCCTTCCTGTATGACCATCATTATTTCTCCTCACTCAGTCAACTCTCTGCCTATATGAACATCTTTAATATTCCTCACTCAGTCAACTCTCTCTTTATATGACCATCTTTAATATTCCTCACTCAGTCAACTCTCTCTTTATATGACCATCGTTAATATTCCTTACTCAGTCAGCTCCTTCTGTATATGACCATCTTTAATATTCCTTACTCAGTCAACTCCTGTAAATGACTGTTTTAATATTCCTTACTCAGTCAACTCTTTTCCTATATGACCATCTTTATTATTTCTCCTCACTCAGTCAACTCCCTCTCTAAATGACCATCTTTATTATTCACCATCTTTAATATTCCTCATCCAATCATCTTCCTCCCTGAACTACCATCTTTAACATTCTTTAGTCATTCAGTAACAAGAGCAAGCATTAGTTACTCCAACCCTTTATGACTAGTTTTCCTTAGCCATTAGTGAATAGGGAAGATTATCGTCACAGTACTCTGGACAGATCCATAGGTGCTCCAGTCTCCTCCTTAAAAGTTCCACCCACCATCTTCCTGAGTCATTTTATACAAGTAACTGTCTTCAGTCAGTTTCTCCCTCTCTTTGAGACCACTTTTAATATTCCTAACTCAAGTAACATCCATCATGTACTCTCTTCCTATATAATTGTGTTTCCCTGACAATAAGGCTAGGTCTTATATTAATTTTGTACCCAAAAAAATGCACTAGACTTATTTTATACTTTTCATGTACACAAATTTATCCATTCTTCATATTAGCATGTCCTCGCGGAACCTCGCTGCCATAACAACCCTCCGGAAAACCTTCCTATCATGAGCAAGATGTCCTGCGTCTTGATACACCCATATGGAGATCATCTGCCACATCCTGCACCCATCTTCTCTGGCCTTCCTCTTCCTCTCTTCCCAGGCATATACCCCTCCATTATTGTTCTCTCTAGACTCCTCCATGACGTTTCAAGTGACCAAAATATTTCAATTTTCTTTGTTTTATTGTCTTTACTAGCCAACCCTCTTCAATATTCAGCTCTTGAAGTATGGATGCATTTGTTCTTTTCTTTACCCAAGATATTCTTAGAACCTGTCTGTAACATTTATATTCAAATGCATTTATGCGCTGTTCCGCTTGTTTAGTAAGTGTCCAGGGTCTCACAGGCGTATGTTGCAATGGGAAAGATGCATGCTCTTAAAAATCTGACCTTTGTAATTCTATCTGTACAATTCCATAATTTATTCCAGTTGTTTTAGTCTTTGAAGAGCAATTGATAGTCGCCGTTTAATTTCTTTCATTGTGTCACCATTGTTGGTAACCAGTGACCCAAGATATTCGAAATTTTCCACCACTTCCAATCTTTCCTCATTAACATATATTTCCTTCTCCATGGCAGTTTTTGTTTGTATGCATTATCTTTGTTTTTGCTGTGTTAAGAAATAAGTTATGATTTTCACTATTTCTTTGGAGTGGAGGTTAATAAGTTTTCTAAAAACCATTTTGTGATGTTGATAGTAATACTGTATCATCAGCATAACGAATTTCTGGTATTTCATGACCACCGATGTTTAGGGCATCATATTGTTCCTTGTTTATATCATCTCTTACATTTCTCATTTATATTTTCGGCGTACAGGTTGAACAAATACGGTGACAGCACACATCCCTGACGGACTCCTTGCTTGATGCCAAACCAGTCTGATGTCTCTCCATCTATTCTGACTGCTGCTTGTTGGTCTTGATAGAGCATTTTAATGAGCTGCACTATATGTGATGGAAAGCCCATATTCCTCATGATTTCCCAAAGCTTCTGATGTTGTACACAGTCAAATGCTTTTTGAATAATCCACAAAACATTTTACATTAAATTCTCTACATTTCTCTATTATTAAAACGCATGTTGAATATATGATCTCTTGTTCCTCTTCCTGTCTAAATCCAGCCTGAGCTACATTAATCTCTTCTTCCATTTTCTTTTGCAGTCTTCTCATTATAATTTTTAGTAGAATTTTACTTGCATGACTGATCAGGGCAATAGTTCGATAGTTTGTACATAATTTCAGGTCACCCTTTTTTGGTATTGGAATGAAGATAGTTCTCTTCCAGTCTTTTGGCCAAATACCATATTTCCATATCTTTTCACATAATGCATGATAGATTTTTATGCTTTCTTCTCCTCCCGCTTTAATCAATTCAGCTGGTATCTCATCACATCCAGGTGATTTACCATTTTTCAGGCTCCTTATTGCCCATGAAATTTCATCTAATGAAGGTTCAGGTAAATTAATATAGGTACACAAATATACATTTAATTAAGTACAAAACTATGCATTAATTCCAGTAGAAACCATACACATTTTTTGGCCGTAGAAAACACCACTGGAATCATGTACTGGAACGTCTTTATAATGCTGTTGATCTTAACTAGGGGTAATATTTGGGGTTACAATTATATAATGCGCATTTAGAGGAGTATGCTAGGGCTTTTTTTTATGGTTAGATCTTTTTTGGGGAGAAACAGTATATATATTGATATTTTACAAGTAACTTTCCTCAGTTATTCCTTTTCTGTATTAGCAGTTGTAATTTCTTGGGGTCATCCTATAAACAGTAACAATCATTAGTTACACTTTCCTGTATGACTAATTAATATTCCTGACTATTTAGTAACAACTAACTGTAATCACATACACCATGCTTTTGTGTCATGACCAATTTTTTTAACATTTCTGATGTATTCCGTAACTTTCATCAGTTACTCCCTCCATCTATGACCACTTTTAGTTTCCCTGAGTTATTCTATAACCAACTGCCATCTGTAAATTCTCCCTCCATATCTTACCACTTTTAACATATGCAACATATTTAATAAGTAAGAACTATCAGTTCCTTCCACCCTCTATTCTTTAGGGCTTGCTCTGAAGTGATCTTAACCTGATACTAAAATACCATCTCCATGGCAACGGTTATTATATCGCGCTCTGTTGTGCCACTTCCAGTTCAGAAGCCATTAGGGTGCAAAGCTAGTGTTTCTCCTCCTTCTCAATATCCTTTTTATTCTTACCCGCCTTCTTCTCCTCTCCCTGCGGCATTCACTTTTAAAATGGTATTTAGCAAATTGTATTGTGGTTTACAGCTTGTGTTTCCTAGAGCAACAACTTTTGCGTCTCATCGAGCTAAAAAATACAGTTTTGGGAGAAAAGCTGTTATAGAAACAACTAGAAAAAAAAGGGTTTACGTTACTGAAGAGTGGGATAGGAAAAGTAAAGAAGTGTGTGTATAATATAGTGTAACCAGTGAACTTTAGGGGGAGTTCCTTGGCACTGAAAGAGTTTACAGGCTTCAACTTGATGCCAGCAGAAGGTTCCACTGCAGATAAACATATTTCTTCTGTTTGTAGGTAATGAAAATCCTCATCATCCTTTAATGCCATTGTATGTCACATAGAACTCACACAGTCTATTCATTTGTTCTGTCCTGTATAATGAAAATCAATTAACTTTTAAGTCTTTTTACCCATTGAGAGGTTTTACCATAACTCATCCTCTCCTTAGATTGTGCTACCTTAACTAATTTGTTTTTAAAAGAGTAGGAAATTATAGGGAAGAGAAGGGGTAAGAAAAAACAAATAGTAAATGTCAGCTTCACAAAATTGATCACAATAAACAAACAAAGGATGTTGTGGCAATTAGCATTCATCAGCACATAAAAAAACAACACAGCTCACGTACACAAAAATGCACTAACTATGAAGTGACTACATAGGCCTATTATGTACTAAATAAATGATACTTATCTGTGTCCCTGGCGAAAAACGTCGTTAAAGAGAATGAGCAGGACAGGTACTAACCTAAACCGGTAGGCAGTTCGGAATTTGGGGTAAATGTTATGAGAAGGAATGGACTCTAGAAAGGTGATGACTGGCAAGATTGATGGAAAGAGAGTAGAGGGAAGGCAAGGAGATAAAAGCCTGGAGCACTTGGCTATGTGGATGTGGGAGGGTAGGGAGGGGATGATACAAAAGCACTGACCTGATTCATTACTCTGGTGATCATGTGAGATGGCAAAACATGATTGCCTACACTTATCAATAGGGTACATGATGATGGTGATAAGGATGATGGCGATGATGAAGGCAGTAAAATAATACTACAAGACAGATAGGGTAATTTTTAATAATGTATTTATTAGTGTAACAGTTGGAAAGGGAATAAGTTGTTGAGTAAAGTATGTTCTGTATCTCAACACCAACAAGGGTACAATGACTGCTTGGTTCGTTGACACTCTTCTGTCTATCTAGACAATAATGCTATATTGTGGTAGAGAATGAATGAACGAACTAACTTTATTTTTAAAAGGTTACAAGAGAAGATGAGTAAGAATCACAGCCAGTTAAGGCAAGGGATGAAGTTACTCCTCTCAGTAAGCAGAGTCTGGACACTGTTATAGAAAATGGGTTGCCCATGCAGCACTATCCCTCTGTCAGCCTGCCTTGTTTACTCCAAAATAATGGTAACACCAATACGTTTGGGGGGAAAAAACAATAGTTATGAGTTATGATTTGGGTTATCTTCACAGCACTCTGGATACGTCCATAGGTGCTTAGATTGCCCCTCAACATAAACATCAGCGTCCTGCGGTTGATAATTCCAGTCCTATGTTGGTTGGCAAGACTTCTCATGTGACTGATATGCTTCTTATGCTTGGGTGTGCCAATCTTTACTCCCAATTCTTGCACTCTTAGCAAAGATATGGATGTGCTGCTCCCAAAATCCTCCAAACGCCCTACTTCTCTAATGGCTTTAAAAATGTCTGCATGACCCATAGGTCAGCCCTTTGTAACTATGGCAGAGCTGGCTAATCTGTCGACTTTTTATTGACGATGACACTCGCATGCCCTGGGACAAAGATGAAGGTAACTTCATGCACAGTGGAGTTTTGCATTAACTCGATCCACTGTCTGCGTACAAAGCCCGCCTCGACCTGCCGGATCATGCTCATGAAATCACTCAGAACACACACACTTCAGAGAAAAAAAGCATGCGGCAGAAGTTGCCATAGAAGAGCAGTGCTTTATCGGTCTGACTATCAGAGCTTCCCTCCTAGACCAGTTGCCAACCAAGGCTAAGGGATTGTTCTGCCCTGCCATGCAATTAAGTTTTCAGGTTGCATCTCTTCTTCCTAGGATAAGGCTAGTATCCTTCCCAGTGCACGTCTTCCCTGAAGCCATTGGCAATGTGAGGTATCATCTTTGGTGTATGACACAACCAGTTACCAGGTGCAGACTGAGGCAAAGTATGTCTGTACGGACACTTACCTTTTATAACTGTAATGTTTTCTACAGCCATGAAAATGTGAGTGGTTTCTACCGAGCCTCCGCCTACTTCCTGGCAAAAGTCTTCTGTGATGTCATACCAATGAGGTTGATTCCTGTGATCATTTTCTCAAGCATCGTTTACTTCATGGTTGGTAAGTTACAAATGGTTTATCTGTAACCGAGTTACGTATGTTATATTATAATTGAGTGTTGAATATTTACTGTGTTAAACAGCCAAAAGCCTATGGTGAAACATCAGCAACTTGAAGTGAAAATACAGAGACCATGCATCTTTACTGTGAATCATGAACTGTTGTGCAGTTACTAAAAGATAATGGAGCTTTTCAAGTTACATGTTACAAGAAGTTTCTTAAATGACTGTAGACCAAGAAAAAGGCCATTTCTGACATTCTTTAGGATTAGAACATAGAGGACTGTCTGACTCATAGATAATTTCATTTCTTGGAAACTAAAAATGTTTTGGTCACACTGAACACAATAAAGGTTTGGAGAGAACAGTATTGGAAGACATGGTTCCTGGAAGAAGACACCCTGGGCATGAAAGTTATTGTTCGAATCTATTTAGACCTATACATGACTTACATTAAGTAAAAGTTTAGGATATAGTAAATCGGCAGAATCAGAAGTTCAACAAATGATTCATGACAGTTCCCACCCAAGTGATGTGATTATCTATACAGATGGCTCTGTGTTGAGGGGCAGGCGAAGTGCATGGAGGTTCATAGGAAAGGCGAATGGACTTTGCCTAGTGCACAAAGCCTTGCATATAATATCACAATGTTTGGTTTGAGAATGGAGTTGGAGGCAGTCTCTGCTGCTTTCTGCTGGCTTGAGAATCAGCTGTACTCACTTGCCGTGATTGTAACTGACTCACAGAGCATGTTGAGAAAGGTGAAAACAGGCATGCTTCGTGCAGAGTGGCAAGCATTACTTCAGAGGTCCCGGGTAGTTAGCTTTCTTTGGATAATTTCTCCAGGTATGCCAGTGTGTTTAGAAATGAACAGGCAGATAGACTGGCTAGCTCTGCACCACTTGGTGGTGATTTGATGTATGACAAATTAGATGTTGTGAGGGCCCTTTGGGAGCGAGTAAACAGTGCGGAGGCGCTGATACATCATTACGATCTAAAGAGAACAGCGTTGCGAGGAGTTACCAGGGAATCTGGTCAACGCTCAACACTCAGGGAAAGGATGAGACGGATATACAATCAAGCGGTTACTGGTACCATTGGAATTGGAACTCTTCGCTTGATGCTGAAGATGGGGACTGAGCACTTATGGGAGTGCCCCGAGTGCTGTGATGTCGATTCTTTATCCAACATTCAACATGAAGAATATAGTGAGTTAACCCTTTCTGAGAACACTAAAACAAATGGGTCATCAACCTGTGTGAATTCCCAAAAACATCCTTATGGACAACAAACATTTTATACAGGCCTCTAATAAATAAAAAAAAATTTTGAATAATTTACGTTCTCAGTATTTTTTTCTAAATGTATAAAGAAACATGGGGAGTAATCAATAAACATGAACAAAGTAAAGCAGTCAGTAGAATACGTTTCCCTAGAAATAGCAAAAGTTAATGTCTGACGTTTGGTGCAGGAGAGCCTAACATACGATACCACAACATCCAGCTTAAGAATGGAGGTGGAGGCAGTCACTGCAGCTTTCCGCTGGTTAGGGAACATGACATAAACATACATCATGATTGTAACTGACTCAGAAAGCATGCTGAGAACAGGCATGCTTCGTGCAGAGTGGCTAGCTTCGCTGTTGAGGTCACGTCTGAGTATTGTCTGGATCTTTTCTCTGGGGAACGCCGGTGTGTTGGGAAATAAACAAGGGGACAGACTGGCTGGCTCTGCACAACTTGGTGGAATATTGATGCATGATAAGGCAGACGTGGTTAGGGCCATGGGAGAGAGTGTGTACACTTCAGAGGAGCAAAATGGATCACCACAGTCTGGTAAGATTGATGCAGCAGGGAGTGACGAGGGGTTCTGGCCAATGCTTGCTGCTCAGGGGAAAGGCAAGACAGATGTTTAATCAGAATGCTACTGGCACTATTAGTATTGGAACTCTTCGCTGGCTGCTGAAGATGGGGATGGAGCGCTTATGTGAATGCCCCAAGTGCAGTGGTGTTGGTTCTTGAATCAGTTCCCTGAACATAAACAATCTTTATTGAATGGCTGTGACCCCTGTCACTGAGGCTGTAGAAAAATTTGACATCAGCATGGCTTTAAAAAAGCCATTTCATTTACAAGACCACCACCCCACTCTTTCCATTCGCATGCACACACATACACTTCCCTTTTAAATGCTATTTACAGCAAAAAAATATTTGTCTCAAAGACTCCATGCAGGTAGGTATAGAACCAATGACATTAAACTATGCTTCTCTGAAACATATCACAACAGACTTGCCAGTTTCACAGCCATTATGGGAATGGGTCAACAGCAGAGTAACTGGCTTCTCGGAGTAACAGTGCTAGAGCAGTACCAACCTGGGACTGAAAGAGTTAAAATGTTTTTGCAGCATGTGTTATTTTTTATTTTAATTATATAATGGATTCATGCTAATTTGTTATCTTTTAAAATATTACAGCATTTGCTTTATTTCATTTTCAGATTTCCGAGATGGAGCTGATCATTTCTTCTTCTTCAGCCTGAATCTGTTCCTAACTGCCCTTTCAGCATCTGCTCTTTCATTTGCCATCAGCTCAACTGTGAGGATATTTGCTGTGGCAAATCTTTGTTTAGCCCTGTCGTATGTTTTCATGATGGTAAGTTTTAAAGAAAATGATTTACACTTGTTAAAGAGTGTTTTAAAAATGTTATGTGAACCAGGCGCTGTCTCTACAATGAAGGATTACTGCAGTGGATCTCCAGTATGCTGTCTCTCATCCTGGTTGTACACTCTCTGAGACTTCAGTTAACCATCTTTTGATATTATGCTCCCAATTTCATCTCTGGCTACCTCTTGCTTAATTGCCTTTGACTTCGCAGCCAAATGTATACAAAATTTAACATCAGCAAATCAGCTATGTGTACATGTTGATTAGCACCTGAGACAACAGATTACGTCCTTCCTGACTGACCTAAATACAAAATATCAAGTCCAAAATTTTTGGCCACGAGAAATGCCGATGCAAGTTAAACTTTACACGTCGCTGACTGCATTACAACACACTATGAAGTTCATACTAGAGACAACATTGCAGATATAGATAATCTATATCAAGGGAATGAAAGAAAAACAAAAACTTGCCTTTAACTTTTCCTTCAGTATTGTTATAAGACTATGTTTTTTAATATAGCAAAACATCTGTATAGATTTTGTTGTTGCTTTCAGTAACTCTTTATATTCAGTAAGAAACGAACGAACAAACTCCCTTTATATTCCTATAAATAAATTCTTCTATCTTCTATCTTTCAACTTCTTTCTATGAGTGCCGATCAATACACTTTCTGTTACTCGATTAATTCCCTTTATATTCAAGGGTTAAGAATTGGGTACGCAAGCCCGTCTATTATTCTGCCCTTCTGTTCTCCCTCCTTTCATACATCATTTCATTCAGGCATCACATAATAGTAAACATTATCAGTAGCATCAAAATATTCGATACAAGCACTGGAATGTGCACCTTTTTAACTATAGTAAACCATAGTAAGCTGAAATATTTTGGTCATATCAAGCGCCAGGACGGATTAGAAACAATTATAGCAGAAGGCATGGTGCCTGGAAGGAGGGGCAGGGGCCGACCGACACGAAGATGGGCACAGGTTATAAGTGACTCCCTGAGTATGAAAGTACATGAGGCGGGAGAACTGGCTAGAGACCGAGTTTCTTTCAGGTAGACTGATGAGAGTGATGTTCTGCAAAGGACCTGCTACATGATGATGATGGAAACCGTAGCAGCCGTAAAAGAATTTGGAGGCCATCGAGACACATACTGTGGATACCATGGGTAGCTAGAGTGACTAACATCAACTGCCTGGAAATAGCTGATGAAATTAGAAAACTGTTTACAACTACAAGAAAGAGGGAGTCAGTGTTCTTCGGTCATGAGATGAAAAAGAGGCACCGGACAACATCAGGATGACTAGGAAAGATCAGTAGTTAAAGAGGCAGAGGCAGACCAGCAGAGAGGATGTTTGATGGCCTGAAGCTATGGTATGGATAAATATCCTCAAATGGGGAGTTGATTAAAAATACAGGTACCTCAGAAAAAAAGGACCCTTTTTCACGCCTTTAGGCGTATAGGGCATATAGGGCTAGACCTATATTCTTATAGACCAACGGCACAAGATGGGTGATGTGGTCAGCATCACGCCGGCCGCCTCTACTCCCTGGGACTGCACCCGGTACCCACTCAAGGCTGGGTCGACCTGGGAGCCAAGTTCATTTCTCAAGAGGTACCTCAGAATTCAAATATAATTCATTCTGAGACGGCATATAGTGGTGGACCTATATTTCTGTATACCAGCTGGCATTTAGTGGGTGATGTGGTCAAAGTCAAGCCGCCTGCATTTACCTCTCAGGATGTTACCATTACCTGAACCCATTTTAGGCAGGGTCAACTTGGAAGCCATGGTCAATTGAAAAAAATAATATATGATTCACTATACAGTTGAACTTGTGACCTTCAACACAAGTGAGCATGTAGCCACTACTCTGTCTCCCAAAATGTTGTAAGATATTTACTATTTGTTGTGAGACACTTAAGAAATTATAGTAAAACCTCATTAATGCAAAGTCTCTTGAAAATAACACTCGGTAACATACAGTTTTGCTGCCTGAGTTACTGAGTTTAGTGCTTGGTGCAGCCCTGTGAGCTGTGTTTTTCATGTGGAATCCTTTCATTTTTTCAGCGGTTGTGTGGGGGGTATTCAATATGGCCAGTAGCCAGTTTACGTGTGAGCTGGTGAAATACCTAATGTGGTGGTTCTACGCGCGTATAGCCAACTTATCGTACCCAACTACTTCCATCAACGATGGACGGCATTTCTGGTAGTGACTATTGGCTTTGTCATCTCTAGCAACTGTCAAGTGCATTTACTGCGTGCACATATTTATAGATTGTGCGGGAACTAATTGTTTGTTCTCCAGTTTTTTTTTTCAAATTGGACGGTGAGGGACATTTCATTTGATTTTCATTGGCACAGGAATGGAGCAAGTATGTGGTGACCCGATTGCAGGGAAGTTGAAACCTCAACTAAGACTCGGTAACATAAAACAATTTTTGGTCCCAGCAGGAATGTATCATTATTATTAGTCCACAGTTAGCTCAAATGTTTTAAACGCAAACTCGACTTATCAGACCCTTTGAGTTAATGAGGTTTTACTGTATGCATTTAAGGATTGTTTTCACAGTATCTGATGAATTAAATTCAGTTTGGAATGACCATATTAGGCAAATAAAGAGTGGTAATTCTGTGCAAATAAGAAAGATTGAATACAAAGCTTTATGCTGTGGCTGGACTAAATCAACTTTGTTGTATTATCTGTTTTTCCCCAACAGTTGTTTAGTGGATTGTTGATCAACATTGGAGACCTGGCGGAATGGCTTAGATGGATCAAATACCTGAGTATATTCCGGTACAGTTTGAGTGTGAGTATTTATCTGTTTCCTCTTATTATATATAAGTAATTGGTGCTAATATCACAGCTGTAATGTAAACAGGCACACTATATTTACGCCACTTGGATAAACAACAGTTATGAAGAAGAAAAAGAAATATTATTAATGTTTGAAAACTCATCTTATGCCAGTAAAGGTAAAGTAAGACTTTTTTCCTGGTCAGGTTTATGCTGTGAATCTCAGATTTGTATAGCCTGATAAGGACACAGTGGGCAGACCAGTATTTAGGATGTATGACACCTCTGTGCAGTTGTTTATTTTACACCCCCCTCTTTAAATTTTTACAATGTTTACTACTGTTTATATTGTACTGCTCTCATAATTTTGCAGCCCCCTAAATTTTGCCACCCTCTGCAGCTGCACATCAATCCTCATTGCACACATAAGTCAGAAGCTGCACATGTTCAATTAATTCTCATCATGCACATAAGTGAGAAGCTACATATGTTCAATCAATTCTCATCATGCACATAAGTGAGAAGCTGCACATGTTCAATCAATTCTCATCACACACATAAGTGAGAAGCTGCACATATTTAATCAATTCTCATCACACACATAAGTCAGAAGCTGCACATGTTTAATCAATCCTCATCACGCACATAAGTGAGATGCTGCTCAAGTTTAATCAATTCTCATCACGCACATAAGTCAGAAGCTGCACATGTTTAATCAATCCTCATAACGCACATAAGTCAGAAGCTGCACATGTTGCTTCTGCCCTGTCGGTGGATGACGTGATCAATATCGGGCTAGCGGCTTTTTCTTTCTAGGACATTTCCTCCTAGGGTCTTTGACCAGGAAGTCCAAGTTAGTTTTTTTTTAATGCCTGCATTGATGGGATTGCGACGTCCTTGGTTTAGGCATTGCGAGTCTGACAAACCACTGCTGGCTGCATGGATTTTTATCCTGGTATGTGGCGTTGCAGGTTGACCCAGCCTCAAATGGATACCAGGATGGCTGTCGTGGGGAAGTAAAGATGGCCGGCGTAATGCTGACCACATTACTCACAGAGTGCTGATAGTCTGTAAAAATATGGGCGCTCTTCCCATATACCTGATACGCCTAAAGGCGTGAAAGGGATCTTAAGTTTTTTTTTTTTTTACTTTACTTTATTGATGTGATTTGAACATACGACCATCTGTTTATTACTCCTAACAGCTCTTTTAAATTTTACATTTTCTTAGAGATGTAGATTCTTTCTTTATTCATAAAATGTGACCTATTTTATGTACATACATTTCCAGAGTCTTAATTTAATATTTTAACTGCTAGTTCACAGCAGTACATATATAGTCATCTCCTTGTGAGATAAAATTTTTCATTATTTGAAGCCGTACTCTGGCTCTTGCCAGGGGCTGCAATATATGGTCTAATGGCTGAACGCGGTTTCTGGGACCTCTCCACGGGGGATCCTCATCCGCATGATGGCATTTTGTGTCATCGGGTGTTTATCGCTTATGTGATGTCGTTTTGGGGTAAAATAAGATAGATAGAGGCTGTTAGTTCACATCATGTAGTAATGCTAGGTGCCAGAAATATGAAATGAAAATAAGCTAAGAAAAGACAGAGGCAATGGTGACAGGTAGACATCTCAATAAAAGTAAATGACACAAGAGTTGAAAAAAAAAAAGACAATTTAATTTGAATATCTAGGGTCAGTTTTCAGATCAAAAAAAAAAGAGAAGAATTGACAGAGAATCAACACACAGTGTGCTAACGCAAACCAGTTTCTTGGACAGCTAACACCACTTTTGACACCTAGAGGCATACTTCTGTATAGCAAGGCGAATCTGATAACTATTTTTTTACCAGCTTTATGCTATCAGTGTCAGACTTCAATCCTCAACATTTCTGAGTGCAAAATCATAACAACAGAGATGAGATTTCTTAGAAGAGCTGCCAGAGTAACACGAAGAGATAAAACTGAAAATGAAGAAATTAGGAGGTTAGGAGAGGGAAGGCTAACCCAGACAACAAATATCCGTAGAGGCTGGATGTGTTGGCCGAGAGGTGCACATGTCGCAGCCATGTTGTAAACAGGCATAACACATTTACATCTTCAGACGAATGCAAATGAAGAAGAAGTTAGGGCAGACACCAGTCACATAGCTTATTAATGAGCAACATATGACCATCTGTTGAAGTAACAAATGTCTTGACTCTGAAATTAATATACACATCTCTTGTACATAAGAAATACAGAAATGGTTACTCACAAAGATGATCATATTATTGTATTTTTCTCATTAGGCTCTGAGCATTAATGAGTTGAAGGATAGAGAATTCTGTAATGTCTACAATGGAACTAAAGAATGGTAAGTTGTCTTTTGATAATAATGTATTACACAGAATGTGTATTATTTTAGTATTCCTTAGAGGCAAGAGGAAGACAGCCAGAGAGATACCTGGCAGCTTTTTGTTATGGCAGGGGAGGGTGTTGTGCACTAATTATTTATGGGATTTGAGATCACAAGGTATAGAGAATACTGAAAGAGAAGTTTGGCTGTTCATGTAGTCAGCTAGGCACTTCTTTTTCAGCATTCTGAATCCTTGAGGTTCATTACTGGAGATATCACCTGCCTCCATTCATCTCTCTGGTTGGCCTTCTCTCTCTGGTTGGCCTTCTATTTCCAGTTAGTGACACCAAGTGTTTGTAGGTCTGTCTCAAAGTTATCACTCCAAGATTCATTGTCTTCTTGGTCTGCCTCATGGTCTACAACCATTCATCTCCCTTGTGTATAGTTTTTACCTCTCTGTCATCTGAAATTCTGTAAGTATGCGCCGCCGTTTGAGTCTGTTAGCTCTCATGATGCCAGTGATCATTATGATTTAAAGATTTAAAGAGATTATGAATTTCTTTGCTGCTTCTCATTCTCCATTCCCTGCTGTTTGCATCTTTGATGGGTTCAAAGATTCTTCCTAAGACTGTTTTAGAAAATTTAGCTTCATCTCTTTTAACTGTGCTCCAAGTTTCAGAGTCATATAAAACGACTGGTTTTATCAACGTTTGTATATTTTGATCCTGGTGTTGCGAGATAGAGACTTTGACTTTAGCAGATGTTAAAGGGGATAGTATACTTTATTTCCACACTGTATTCTATATTGTATTTCCTCTCTCAGCACATTGGAACAGTTGAAGCTTGCACCCAAGTGCTTTTATTTTTCCGCTCGTTTGATTTTTATATTATCGACTTGTATGTGGCCAGAGTTTATATCCTTTCCATGCCTTGTTATTATCATGTATTATCTTGATTGAAAACAGGCAATTGAAGATGATAATTTCTTAATGATCATGAAATGGAAAATAAAGTTGGGTTTGTGAAAGAGTTGTTTTAATCAAATGATTTTGCTGCATTGTTTCTTTACTTTTTTAGCTTTAGCCGGGTATCTTCTTGTCTTCTACATTCGCCCTTAAATGGGCGACTGGCACATTGTGATTTACACCTGACTTGAGATACCTGCACCTCTTGGCCTAAACCATTTGATTCAGCAAACCCCTAATTAGTTGCTTTTTATGTCATGCTTGTTAAGCAGTAGTGGGTATGTCTCCCTCCACAGTAACCTCCAATGGGGCCCTGGAATCCACTCAGAGTGTTCCAAAAGATATCACTAAAAGATATGATAAATTCTAAGACATGATTTCCTGTACTGAGCTCTGATGCATTGTTTTTTTTATTTTGACCCTTTGTTTCCACAGTTCATTTGGCAACATCTATTTGAAGCAGCAAGACATAGCCTTTGAGGAGTCATTTGATCTCTGGCAAAATGAAGTTGCTTTGGCTGCCATGGTTGGAATTTATCTGATCTTAGCTTACATTCAGCTGCGCCGAATTAAAAAGTTGAAGTAAAAACAAATGGATGATCTAACCTAGATTAACTTGTTCAGTCTCTGACAGTTGCCACTGAAATTCATTTTATTCAACGCAGTTGTTGCTTTATTATGAAAAATTGCCAGTCCATACAGAAAGTAGAACTAGTTAGCTACACAATACTACCATCATGAATGGCAAGATGAACATTGTGACAAGAAAGCATTCATCAGTATGTGAAACAAACAGATAATGTTACAATTGCAAGCAAAAATACATCAAATAACTTAGCCCTTTGGTAAGTCCTATAGAAAAATATCCGTGTTTGAACAGTAGACACTCACATTCACATATCGTCACAAGAGCAAGATACTGGGCAGAAACTGACCAAAGGAGGTGAAATGGATAGGTGGGGGTTAAGAGATTGCCACAAAGAACATAGCTGAAAGCTATTATTTAAACTAATAAATTTTTTTCAAAAAGAGTTTATAAAGTTAACTTTACTGAATAACTATAGGTGAGATAAAACTGAATAATATAACAACCGGATGAGGCACACAAAGTTAAGTAAAATAGATTATTAATAAAGATAATATTACATGACTCGTTGTGAATGAGTTTAATAATGAAACTCAGTTACTTTACTTTTTTAGTACAAGACAGTTGTAGCTTTAACAATTTCAGTCTTAATGTATCTACTTTGGAACAACAGTCTTTAATTTAAGCTCAGTGAATTAAAAAGTAGAAATCTGGATCAGGGTGAATAAAGTAATCGCAGTGATAGAGCTTGTCAGTTAGACAGAAGTTTGGTAACGTATACCAAATATGGAGTAATCAGAAATTGTATCTTCTTTTTCTTTGTGTTCAGTGGCTGTAAACTCTAATATACAATTCTGGATGTTTGTCCACATCTGGACTTTGGTCTTGTTTCAGAACTTGAGTTTTACGTGCACGTCTTTTTTAAAACTCCGGTTTATTTCTATGGAGACTTTTGGTTTCCTGTCTCTTAGGCCGATGCACTCTGACATAGAAGATTATACCTGACTTAGTCGTGTTTTTATAACATGCTTGTAAGGGAAGACGTGGGTCTGCTCTTGTTATTCCCAAAAATGGTATCCCTGGAAGCCACATGGGAATATAAATGTGTGGTCCCCTGTGTGGGTTCCAGGGCCCTATTATAGGGAAAACAAGAATAGACTCACTGCCTACCAAAAAGCATGTTGTAAGAGTTGACTAATTGGGAGCTTCTTTTGAAGGCGGAGTGCATCTGCCTGAGAGGAAAGGAACCAACAGTCTGCACACAAATGCATCAGATCTGTCAAACGGATGCACACACAACACTCAGGTTCTGGAACAGGACTGCAGTCCAAAAGTGGACGGACAACCAGAACTTTCCACCAGAGTTTTTACAGCTGGTGAACGCAAAGAAGAAGAAGATAAATGTGTGGTTAGTTGTCTAGTTCTGAAAGAATTACTCTTCTTCTTTTCATTCTCCCTTCCAGGGGTTTACAGATGAGAAAGCCTGTTTGAATGAAGGCTGTAATGCAATGCATGCCCTGCCTCCCTTTTCTCTTGATTCATAGAGCTTTAGCTGAAAACTAACTGGTCCCATCTCCCTGTTGCATGGAGGGAGCATGTCTGCAGCATGTTCAGTATTTAGGGTGCCTGTCCACATGGGCTCAGTTCGGAGTCCCCATTCTGGAATCTCCTGTACATGTGGCTGCAGAGCCTGTTGTGTCCAGTTGATAGTCTAAATATTGTGGTCTGTTTTACAACTTCTCCAACTGGAATTGTGTGAGTGCTACAGCCCTAACCGCTAGGGTGGAGCTGTTTATGTCACAACTGTAACAGTATAGAGTGGGTTAATGTCACAACTGTAACATTCGGAAAAGAATGGTTTAATATTAAATTGTAACTAATGGAAAAAGATGGTTTAATTTAAACTGTAACAAATGGGATAGGATGGTTTAATGTTAAACTGTAACAAATCGGATAGATTTGATTAATTTCACTACTGTAACAAGCTGGATAGTCGATTAATGGCGCTACTGTAATAAATGGAATAGATTCAATTAATGTCTCTACTGTAACCTTTAGGATAGAATGGTTTAATCTTAAACTGTAACACACAGGATAGATTTGATTAATGTCACTTCTTTAACGAATGGGAAAGATTCAATTAATGTCACAAATGTAACAAGTTAGATGGTCGATTAATGGGACTACTGTAACAAATGGAATAGATTAGATTAATGTCACTACTGTAAAATTTAGGATAGAATGGTTTAATGTTAAATTGTAACAACCAGTATAGAGTCGATTAACATCCCAGCTAGATGGTTACAGGGCATTAGAAGTATTTCACGCATGAAATAACCAATACATACATAGTGTTTTGTTTGGTATGACTGAGTAAAGTAGCCATGATAGTTTAAGATTCCCATGATTTTCAGTTTCCATGTATATGAATACAAAATTAAACAGCTAAGATTGTGCCAGATTATCATAATTATGGTTTTCATTCAGATGTAGCTGTGATATTATTCTGTGGTGTCGATTTTTTTTAAACAAACAAGCATATCTTTCATAAATGTGTTCTTGATTTTAATGTTTGTATTTTCACATATCTGTTTACTGTACATAAATTAAAACTAAAAGTGTCTCCAGACCAAGTAGGTCAAGTTGTTTACCCTATGCTCTGAGGGATATGGGTTCAGTTTCAGGCAGAATCAGGTTTGTGAGTGTATGTTTCAGAGATTCCTGGGAGTTGTCACTGGAGCTAGGGGGATCTGTGCTTTATATGTTACTCTTGGGAGGCAGACACTTTGCAGTAAGAGACTGAGTCATGTGGGTTAAAAACCGGTGCAGTAAAATAAATCCTCTCATTGTTAAACACTTTGTTTTTTAAACATTATTACTCCAATTACATATGCATACATTCATTATCGCATACCCATACATTCATTATCACATACCCATACATTCATTTTCACATATGCATACATTAATAGCTTAAAAAAATACTTTGATATTTTTTTTGGATGTTACTTTTATACCCTGAAGTTTCTTTATTTTTTAGATGGATTGTGCTAATTTGTGAAATGTTTAAATAAAACAAAAAATAGTTAGCAGTACTGCAGTCGTACTTCTGCTTTTTTTTCATTTTCCCTGTCAATGGTTTTCACATAAAAAGACCACAGGCCTCTGTGAAGGTCGTAGTGCTACATATGTCCTCCACTGATCCATCCAACTTGGTTTTCACCAGAATGCCAAATGGCCAGACCTGTGATCTTTCTACTGAATATAGATCTGGTCATACAAAGAGTTTGTTGATAGCAGGTTGACTATTTGGCTTTAATACATCAATCACTTGTCATCTTCGCATTAAAGGTTGGCTGCAATAGATCTCCATCATGCTCTGTCTTCTATCTTGGTTGTACACTGTCTCAGGCTGCTGTTCGTCCATCTCTTGATGTTGTCCTCCCACTTGTATCATTGTCTACCCCTTGCTCTCTTGTCTTCAACATGGTTTTTAAAAGAGTGTTATGTCTTTTAATGTGAGCAAAATACTTCACTTGTTTTATTTTTTTAATTTCTTTCTCAACTCTTTCATTTTAGACTGAGTTAATGTGGGAGTCAATGTCAGTTTTTATTCAAAATTTACCTTACCTGCCAGTTGACCTAACCTAAAATTAGTACCAGGTAGTGCCCTAGAATGTCATTAGAAGGAAAAGCGAGTATATTGTGACAATAGTGAAATTGGAGGTAATGAGAGGCAGAAAAATACAATAGAAAATAGCTGTGATGAAGGGTACTGGTCATTCCAATCTCATAACATCATGGTGCAGAAATTATCTGAAAGAGAACTGTTTACCTGCAGCAAGAAAAAAACCAGTCTGCGTAGTTGAACATGTCATTAGAAGGAACAATTAGTATGTTGTGACAATAGTGAAACTGGAGGTAAAGAGAGCAGGAAAAAAAGCGATAGACAGTTGAAGAGAACAGTTTATCTGCATCAGGAAAACACCAATTTACTTCTTTAAGCATGTCATTAGAAGGAAAAACAAGTATGTTGTAACAATAGTTGGAGGTAAAGAGAGGCAGAAGAAAATGTTACACAGTCAAATAGAACTGTTTACCCTTTTCAGGAGAAAAACCATTAAACAGTCAAATAGAACTGTTTACCTTTTTTCAGGAGAAAAACAATCTAAATCTTTAGGCATTTTTGCTAGAAGGAAAAACAAGGAGGCTTTGACAATAATGAAGTTGGTGGTAATGAGAAGCTGGGAAGAAAGAAAAAGATGGTGTTAGACCGTCAGTGAGAAGTGTTTACTGAATCAGGACAAAACCAGTCTACATCTCTGAGCATGAAGGAAAAACAAGTATTTTGTGATTGAAACTAATTGAAGGTAAAGAGAAGCAAGGAAGACAGAAAGAATGATGTTGCATGGAGGGATAATCTTTAACATAAATTATTGGCAGCATAGGGGACAGAAGGCTGTGGGTAGACAGGACCAAAAGCACCTGGTATGTGCTTTGAGAAGTCAGTGACAGCATATCACCCTGACTTGATGTTGTAAATGTGCCGTTGTTGTCTTTCTCTTTACTCCTCCAGTGTTGATGAAGATATAACATTTCTATTTCTTGCTCTTCTGGCCACCTTGACCACAGGCGTATTGTACTGTTGTAGAGTTTCTCTGCTTGCTTGCTTGTTGTACCCCACCAGGACATCACACAAGCGATAAACACCCAGTGACACAAAGTACCACAATGCCGATAAGGATCACTCGTAGAGAGGTCCCAGAAACCCTTGTGGCCTAGCTATATTCAGCAAAAGCCAGGGTGGGGCTTCAAATAATCAAAAATTGCATCCCACAAGGATATGACTTGCTGTTTTAGTTTCTCTGATGTTATCTTTGTTGTTGTCAGTCTGCTCATACTGTAGTCCCTCTTTCCTTGTGGTGTATGCTTTGTTTGGTATTCCTTTGCAAAGGTTTTTTTCTTGAGTTCTAAGTTGGGAACCAGCATCACAGCACTCA